TTGTTCCCACCTAGTGACAGGGGGGCACTAGATGGCCAGGATTAGTCAGGATAAAGGCTTTTTGAACAGCAAAGTTATGACCCAGATTTAAAATGGGAGAAAGGTGTGGCAGAACAGAGGAAAGCTATACAGAAAAGACTAGAAGAAGAGTGGAATCTGATTTCACCTCAAGTGTAAGCTCTGGTTCTTGGGCTACTATGGTGGGAAGGATTCTTAAGCTGTGTCCAGGCCCCCATGGGAAGCAATTAGTACCATCTGCCAGGGGCATGGGAGGGGGTAGCGTTAGCTCGGGCCATGTACCTGCCATCCCCAGACTAGTACGTGCAAAGGCAAATACTAGCAAGTTGCTTCTGGGCCATGGGCAAGTCTGCCAGGTAGACGCCCAGATCCCAGAAGGCCCATGGAGGGAGAGGAGGGACCAATCCAGGAAGCCTTCCTGGAAAAAAGGGGACAACAGCGAGGATGTGAACTTGGGGCAAAATCCCAATAGGCCAGAATGAGCCTTACTTGGGGAAATGAGTGAGGATGAGGGTCCTCTTTTCAGGCACCAGCTTGTCCTTCTCCACTCGGAACTTTTCCAGCAGCTGCCGGCGGGTAACGGTGAAGATGGATCGGAGAAGGCTTCGCCCAAAGACGTGAGTGGTTTCGTAGCGGGGGAGGCTGTCGCAGCTCTGGGGCACATGGCAGTAACAGAGCCATCTGGGGTGGGGGAGTGGGGGTGGTGGCAGGTGAGGATGAAAACCACTGAACCCAGGCTGGGCTTACAATCCTCCTCCCAACCTGTCCCTGGCTAGGCCTACCTGGTGTAATTGACCTTGTAGGTAGCCACATCCTCAGCCTGAGACCTCTGCCGAAATTGGGCAGGTGTCTCCAGCTTCCAGTAGTTAAGGCAGAGCAGGAACATCTTTGAGAGCTCGAACATCGTCTGTCGCTCCCGGGGAGCCAGGTGACTAAACTTGTACTGCACAAAGTTCAGCACACCCTGAGAAGGGGTGGGCAGGGGACAGAACCAGCAATGGGGTGTGAGCAGCTAGCAGGGGCTTCTTATCCAAGGAAGCTGCTGAGGGCAGGGACAGGGCTCTCCTCTCATTCTGGGGCTCTCTGTGAGGGGAGCTATGCCCCCTCCTTACTCCCACTCCTCCCTTCTCTGAGTGTCTCCCCTGTCCTCAGCTTGAGGGGGATGGCATACACAGGCTCCCCCCTCCTCCAAGATGCCTTCAATTCCCCTCTTACAACTTTCCCCAGCCCACCTGCTCAATATTAGGCTTCTCAAATGGGGGACTGCCCAGGGACCCCTCCACCACGGGCCGGGTCATCTGCAGGATGCATTTCCGCAGGAGCTGGAGGGGAGAGCAAGGGGGAGTACATGGCAGCATGGCTCAGGGCTGCAGACCCCCCAATGCCTCACCTCCTTCCCTCACACTCTCCTTCCATGCAAGCTCACCTTGAAGAGGTAGAAATAGACCTGCTTGGTGTCTGTGTCCTCCTCCTTGTGAACAGACATAAACAAATTCTCCACGTCCACCACCATCCCCAGCAGCCGGTTAATCTCATCCTCTGATACATTCTCCAAGTGGGATACATGGTCAGCTGCAAGACAGACAGGTGGTAGAGTTGGGAAGAATGGAGAGAAGAGCTCAACAAGGCTCCTGCACCTCCTCACAGCCAGCCAAGATACACCCTCAGTCCCTCTGACCACTGTGACCAACAGTGAGGCGGACTGCTCCTACACCAGCCCTTGGGTGGCCCTCGCCTCTTCTGGGCTGGCAGACTTCCTTTCTCCTTCCCTGGGGGAATACACACCAACCCAATCCTTCCCTAGGAGGCATCTTTGGTTTTTCAGAGATGAGGCTTTGTGGCACTTAAGTCACCCTAAGTAGGACTCAGCACCTGCTCTCTGCACCCCCAGCTCCAAGGGCGCTGCCTGCCTTACCCAACGGGTGCTCACAGCTGCGGCACAGCTCACTCAGGTTGGCAGCTGGCTGCTGCAGATCCATGCGGGGTGCAGTAGGGGGCTTGGGGTTTTTCCAGCCATTACACTTACAGGTTTCATTGGTCTGGAGACAGAAGGATCAGTCAGTGACATGTATCCCCGGGGCAGGAGCCACTCCTCAGCCAGAGGTTTGCCCCGCTTCCCACCCGAGCCGTAGGATGCCCCAAGCCCCGCCCCTTTCACCCCAGACCCCGCCCCCACCTTGCAAGCCGAGAAGACCCCTAGCTTCTCAAGCTTCTTGGCGCGCGGCAGACCCCGGACTTGCGCCTTCCTCTGGCTGGCGCGCTGCTGCTGACTCAGGCCAGGTCGAGCCGGATCCCCCCCGCTCCCGGTCCCCCCACTTCCTACGCCGGGCCCCCCAGTCCCTGTGCTCCCGGCTGGGGCTGCAGCTGGGGCGGGGACTGGAGCCGGAGTGGGAGCTGGAGTCGGGGCTGAAGCCGGGCTGGGCGCAGGAGTCGGAGTTGGGGCAGGGGCTGGGGACTGGAGGGGTCGGGGCTGCGCGGCCGGGGTCGGGGCCTGGGAAGGTTCCGCCATGGCCTCCCCCGCAGCGGAGCGCGGCGCCGCGCTCCCAGCCCTAGGGCCGCATGGGCAACCGGCACTCAGTGCGCAGGCGTCGCTGCACCAGTGCATGATGGGAGTTGTAGTCTCCCGCCGCTGTGCCACTCTGCCGTCAGCTTCCAGACTTTTCTGTCCTGTTTCTTGGTCCCAGACAGCCATGTGAGGTCTGAGCGAGCCCCTCAGATTGACCTCTCCCCAGTTCTAATCTCGAAGTCGTCCGGGTTGGTCACGATTGCTGTCCTCTTGGATACATGGAGGCGCTTCTTGAGGGGACCGAGGGCTGTGCCCCTCTTACAAATCCCCAAAGGGAAGCGTGGGCCTGGGTCAGCGTCCTGGCGCTCCTCTCTCCAACCCGCACCCCAGCCCCAGCACTGCCCCACGCGGCTCCAAACGCGGAATTGCAGCTAAGGGAGAGATGAGATTTGGCCACACTTGTAGAACTGTGTGGTGGTTACATGGGTGTGTTTGTTTGACATTCAACTGCACCCTATGTGCACTTTTCTGTGTGTATATATATGTTATACTACAACAGAAAGAGTTTGTTATCAAAACACTGAGCACCAGAGGCGTAGCCCTACGAAGAAGGCCACTGAGGTGGAGAGTGAGGCCGAGGAGAGCCAAGCCTTTCCTGCTTGCTGGGCGCTGCCCTCCGCGTGCCCTAGAGCCCCCAGCCTGCCGCACCGGAGAGACCGCAGTCCCTAGGGTTGGGCACAGTCAAGGAAAAGGAGGGCGTTCCAAGAGTGGATGGCTGGGAAGGTCGCTGTCCTTTGGCTCTGTCCAGAGAACAGTCCTTCTTGCCCCAGGCCTGGTCCTTAGCGGGGAAGACAGCCCCTTCCAGCCCGCTGCTCAGTCTGATGTGGGCTCTGCCTGGGTGACTGACTGCTCTGGGATCTGGCTCCCGCGTCTAGCCTCATTCAGTCCATCCGTTTCTGTCACAGCTTCGGCGCCCGGTCTCATTGGCAGGTGGGGAAGGGCGGAGAAAGAGTCAGGCTCCAGGATAAATGCAGCCGCAGCGCTGACAACCTGACTGTGGAGGTAGGAGAGGAATGGCTGAGCCCGGAACTCCCGCCTCCGCTTGCAGAAGCCAAGGGAACTAAGGAGAGCAGAGCTGAGTACGGCGGGGACCGCGTGGGGACCGCGTGGCGACCCTCCTCGAGCCGAAATCCATGCTCTTGGAGCCTCGCGCCCCTGGATAGCAGTTGCTCACTCGGATGCAGCAGGTCGGTAACAGTTTCTCCACCGAGAACCGGGTGGCGTCCAGGCGCCCCAGCGCGGCCCTTGCTGAACGGAACCAGGTAGCCACGCTGCCTGTGCGGCTGCTCCAGGATGATCAGGCAGCTGCGCAGGGCAACCACCGTGCCGAAGACAATTTCCAAGTGAAGATGGACGCCCACGGCTTCACCCCCGAGGAGCTGGTGGTGAAGGTGGATGGCCAACGCCTGATGGTGACCGGCCAGCGGCAAATGGAGGCCAACGACCCAGAAAGGGGCAGTTACCGCATGTCGCAGAGGGTGCACCGGCAAATGCGCCTCCCGCCAGACCTGGATCCCGCCGCCATGTCCTGCTGCCTGACCCCCTCCGGCCAGCTGTGGGTCAGAGGCCAGGGTCCGGTGCTGCCTCTCCCTGAAGCCCCGGCTGGACGGTCCTCCAGACTCCTGAGCCGCGGCTCAAAGGAGCGTTCCAACCTGACCCAGTAAACAACCCCAGAGCGTTCCAGCCTGACCCAGTAAACATCCCCCGCAGTGTGCAGCATCTTTAAAGTCCATTGTCTTTTCTGGGGATGGGGTCAGAAGTGGAGGGACTGGAGCCACAGGGAGGGGGAGACAGGAAAGGAACCTCAAGGTGGTGGTCCATTGGGACTGAGGCCTTTGTGGCCCTGGGAGCAACTGCTGGGGACAATGTGGCCCTAGCTGAGCAGCAGCTCCAGCAGGGAGCAGCAGAGAGCTGGGAGTGCCCAGACCACCAGACTCCAGAATCAGCAAAGGGCCCCATGAGATCAAGAGAGAATAGCTCAGACCTGGCCTGGGGTGCTGCAGCCCCACCGGTTTCCTTCCTCTTTAGGGAAGAGAGCAAGAGGATCCAGTCCCTCATAGGCCTGGTACAGACCAACCCAAAACTCCAAAGAGGACGTTCATCGGCCAATTGCCTTCAAACACAGATTGCACATCACCCTGGTGTAATCTGGCTGGCGGGGAGGGGGTGGTGGAGGAACAATTACAAGACCCTCAACTTCAAACCTGCTCAGCCCAGGTCAGTCTGGCCCCACCCCCACCCCATTAAAGCTGCTAACAGTAAGGGCCTCTTTCTCTTGGTTACCATGACCACCAGCATCCCCTCACATTAGGGAGGGAAGCTTTTGTTTAAAAAGATTCAGTGGTTCATTTTAAATTAACTTCAACTAGAGAGGACATGGTCTGATAAAGACAGAGAAAGACAAGGAAGACAAGTGTGAGGTCGATTGATCGGCTGACTATATTGACAAGATACTGATTGGTTACATGTTGAAGAAAACATACAATACAAAATACAGAAAAAGTTGGTTCCATCCCCTCCCACTCCCCCCTTCCCCACCCCCCCCAATACTCATATCATCGTGATTTGGTCAGAACAGGGCTCAGAGCCAGAGGTCAGGGTGACCGAGGGTGGAGGGATTGTGGGCAATGGGTTTGTGGCTGTCACAATAATGCTGTGGTGATGCTGTGGCTTCTCTCCCAGCTGGGAGTCAGGGGTGGGGAGGGGACAGCAGCCTGGTGACGGCCAGCTGAGAGAAGAGCTGCCTATCCCTTCCCCAGCCCCAAGGCCTGCCCACTGCCCAAAACCAAGACCACTCCAAACTAGGTGAGGATGCCAGTGCTCCTGCTGAGTCTGCCATTCAGCAAGAGGGAAAAGGAAGGGTAACTGCTCCATCCCCTGCCCCCATATACAAGGGTGGGGGGAACATGAGCATGTGGCTACTACCAGCAAAGGAAAAGTGGGGGAGCAGTAGAAAGGGGAAGAAGTGGGAAGAGCAGAAGATCATATATATTAAAAAAGTGACTTAAGACTTAAAATTGAATTAGTATTTGTACAGAAAGGTGCAGGTGGAATAACTCACTCCGGCCTATGATCAAAATTATATGGAGAAATCATGGTGGACCCCTCCCTCTGCCCCCCCAGTGGTGGCCCGAGTCGTCGTTAAGTGCGATTGGTTAGAGTGGATTCCAGTCGGGTCATTCAGGCGGAGGAGGCGGGAGCAGTGGGCAGGCGAGGGGGTTCAGTTGCTGCAGCACTGGCTCCGGCTGGCTGGGTTGTTCTCCTGGAGGTCCACTCCTCGGTTCCGGCCTGGAGCACCAGCTGCATTCTGGGGCTCATTCTTGGGAAGCTTCTTAGCTGTTTAGAAGAAGAGGGAAAAAATACACTTGTGGGGGTACCCAATATTCTCTCCCAATTCCACTGGAGCAGAATCTGGCCTGTGCTACCCAATCAGTGATCACTAACATACTGAGGGCTTCTAATGTGCCAGGTACATTCTGAGTGTTTCAGGAAACTGAGGCAGAGAGGTTAAATAAACTGCCCAAGACCACAGAGCCAGAATTTAAACCTGGGCAGGATAACTCCAGAGCCAGTGAGCTAAAAAAAAAAAAACTCCTAGGAAGTGCGTAAGGGATGGTGATGGTAGGCTCTGAAACGGGTGGCAAGCTAAAGGGTAAGCGTGAAATGTTGAGAGTTTGGCCCAGGCATTAGGAACTGCTGGGGTGAACTACCCACATCTGGGAGTCAGAGGAAGAAACCAATTTTATCAGAATGTTGAAAATGGTGAAGATACTGCACAGACCCACTACAGAACAGCAGATAGGTGACACGTCCTTGGTCATAGTGGGGAGGGGAAAAGGGCAACTTACCTATTGCCATGAAAATTTCATTCACATTCATTGCAGTCTTTGCTGATGTCTCCATGAACAGCAAACTGTTGTCGTCTGCATAGGCTTGCGCTTCCTGATTCGGATGGAGGTGAGAAAGAGGGTGGGAAGGGCAAAGTTGTCGGGGCGGGGCCCAGGATAAAACCCTTCTCTGTTCACAGTGTCTTACACACAACAAAGACCAGCTGGACAAACGCAGGGGTTTTCAGACCTAAGGCCCCCCACTCACACACACTACCTCTCGGCTCACAAACACCAGCCAATGTCTTACTTAGGCTTCCCTAGGTCCACTCTGCCTTCTTCTTCAAAATCACTAGGCTAGGAAATACTTCTAGAAAATTTCCCTACAAATACACTTGCATATTTGGACAAAAGTATGTGGATATTTACTGTAGCACTGTTTTCAGTCTGTTGCTATTACAAACAATCTAGAAGTCCAGCAATTAGTGACTGGTAAAAAATGGTGGAGAATTATAATATGCAGTGTGTACACATACTCTCATCTATGTAAAGACAGAGATTCATAAACATGTGCCTATTTCTGGGAAGCCAAAAAACTATGGGGTTTCTTCCAGGCTTAAAGATGTCAAAAAAAAGATAAAGTATGGGGAACTTAGGGGTAGAGAGGCTGAGTTTCTAGATTAGGAGACTTAAATTTCATTCTATATACGTTCTTATAGTGTTTAAATTTTACTATGTGCATGTATTACAGGAAAAAAATATTTGTTTTTCAATAAGTTTAATGAAAAAGTCAGTTTATAAGAAAAATTAAGCAGAAGCTTCACTGTCCATGTACACACACATACCCCCACTGCTGGGGAACAAGGGAGAGGCAAGTGACAGCCCTTTTAGACCCGTTCTTGAGTCATGAGAGGACAGGAGATGGAAGTCCCCTGCTGTCACCCAGTGTGGCCCAGGGAGCTGGGTGGAGCCGGCTTGCTCCTTGCCCCCAAGTCTGGCCATCTCCCCACCTGGAATTCCACAGCTCTCTTGGTGGCCAGGTCCGCCTTGTTACCCGCGAGCGCAATGACGATGTTGGGGCTGGCCTGCCGCTGTAACTCCTTCACCCAGTTCTTGGCCCGTGCAAATGTATCCTGAGGAGACAGGGCCAGATGTCAAAGGGACAGAGGAGGCACCCTGCCCAGGGACACTCACTAGAGAAGCTGGAGCTGGCACAGGCAGAGTAAAAACACTGTCACCCAAAGATTCTGGTGAAATGTCCCCAAATAATAGAGAAGACCTGCCCACACCCCACCCAGGAACAGAGGGTGGAGAGGCCTGAAATCAGGGCTTTGAGAACCCACTGCCAGGGCCTTCGAGAAGATGAGGGGCAGAGAGAGAAGGGAAGATCTTTACTGTGTTGGTGATGTCATAGACCACGATGGCAGCTTGGGCCCCCCGGTAGTACATGGGGGCCAGGCTGTGATACCGCTCCTGTCCAGCTGTGTCCCAGATCTCAAACTTGACCGTTGTGTCGTCCAAGCAGACAGTCTGTGTGAGGAAGGCCGCTGGAAGACAGAAGGCTGTGTCAGCAGGCAGGGACGAGCTAGAAGCCACCCCCACAACTTTCCTCTACTGCTTCCAGGCTCTGGCACTTAGAAGCTTGCTGCTGAGATGGACACAGAAAAGCCCTCAACCCAGCAGTGTAGGCAGAAGATAAGGTCTTACTATACAGCCTAGGTTGGTCTTGAACTCCCAGAAGCAATCCTCCCGCCTTAGCATCCCTAGTAGCTCGGACTACAGGTATGTGACACCATGCCCAGCTTCTTTTTTTTCCTTTACAGAGGTATAATTGAGTTAGAGTTTGTACTTTTATGTACATGTCTAGGGTACCAGGACTGCATAGGCCTTACAGCCCTAGCCCAGACAAGCCTGCTGTACTGGGCCATGTCAGGAATACTCCCAGAGGAGGAGTGCAGCAAGGGCCAGGAGGGGGAAAGCCCAGGGGAAACTGGACTCAAGGCACAGAAGGGTGAGCAACCCCATCCTCCTCTTCCTCCTCCTCCCACCACTCAGAAAGAACAGTCCAGATGAAGATCTCTCTAGTCCTTTAGTTTGCTCCAGCCCAGGGGTGTCACTGACCTTCGGTTTCCTGAGGACATTCTCACACGCTTAGCTATGCTGGGGAAGTACACACTGTTCCACTGCCAGGCTCAGCCCGAGTGGCCGGCTTCCCAATTGCCACTGCCATCTCCAGTCACTCTGGGTAGCCACCACCCCCAGCTTTGACCCACACCCATGCCTGTTTGGCCACCCTGTGGCCTGACTTGCTGGGAGCACAGTGACGCTATGTTAGGGAACACAGGGCACTTGTGCGTATGTTTCAGAGGAGGAGTCCTGGAGCTAGGAGACAGGTGGAGTCCCTTTTACCCTCACGGCTACATGGTAAAGCTACTCTCCTTGGCTGGGTGTAATGGCTCACGCCTGTAATCCTAGCTCTCTGGGAGACCAAGGCGGGCGGATCGCTCAAGGTCAGGAGTTCGAAACTAGTCTGAGCAAGAGGGAGACCCCATCTCTACTATAAAATAGAAAGAAATTAATTAGCCAACTAATATATATAGAAAAAAAATTAGCCGGGCATGGTGGCGCATGCCTGTAGTCCCAGCTACTCCGAAGGCTGAGGCAGGAGGATTGCTTGAGCCTAGGAGTTTGAGGTTGCTGTGAGCTAGGCTGATGCCACGGCACTCACTCTAGCCTGGGCAACAAAGTGAGACTGTCTCAAAAAAAAAAAAAAAAAAAAAAGCTACTCTCCTTGTGTGCCCTCCCCTGCCTCATGGAGGGGCCTGGGGTACCGCCTCACTTCCCCTCTCCAGCTCTTGACCCCAGCACTAAGGAGGCAGCAGGGACACTGCTGACACGGCCCATTTTGTTTCCAGCTGCCTGGAAACCTCCTACCAACCAAGAGAGTAGAGAAAGGATGACTCAAGGCCAAGGCCAAGGTTGGCCCTGGTCTCTCGAGGTTTGTACTGGCCGCTGAGGCAGAGGGCTGAGTCTAGACCCTTATTCACATCCTAAATGCTGACCACTGGAAATCAACAACAGGCTCTGTGCTCCAGAAAGGGTGAAGGTCAGCTTCAGAAATGCCAGCCTATCACCCCACTGTGACTCACCAGGCCACTCCCCCTTCTGGAAGCAGGAGAGGTCAGGGCGTATGGTATGTACTGTCCCTTACAGTAAGAAGGACCCTCAGAGATCTAGAGCCAGCCTCTCCTTCCCCAAGGCCAGGTCAGAGGAAAGGTTTTAGTCAAGGGCATACAAATAAAGAGGCAGAGCCAGGATGGGGAGCCCGTTTTCAACTCCCAGCTAATTCTTACCAGCAACGCTTACTGGGCCTCTGACACAGACACCAGCTGCTGGAGTCAATTCCAGGGCCCAGACAAGGATGAGGTGCTGCTGCCCCAGGTGTATTTAGTGTCTGTGGGCAGGCAGCTTCCCCTCTCCTTAAGGTCAAGGCATTTCTCTGGCATCCCTGGGCCATTCCAACTCCCTCTTGCCCACTCACCTCCAATTGTGCTCTCCTGGTACTCATGGAATTGTCCCTTGACGAAGCGGAGGACGAGGCTGGATTTGCCCACCGCAGACTCCCCCAGCAGAACCAGCTTAAACTGACAGATCTTGTTCCCAGCAGCTGGTCCGTTGGGTCGTGCTGCGCCTCCCCGACCCGCCATTGCCCGTCCAGCTGTAGAGGTACCAGAGAGCGTGGGGGCGGGGCCGGTGCTATGCAAAGAGGCACTTAGTGGGGAGGGGGACCTCCAACTGCAAGAGAGAAATGAGAAGGACTGGGTTAGTTCAGAGACTGTTGCCCAGCCAGGCCTCCTTAGAAAACAGGTTTATCCCTGTGGCCTGCCTGATGGCCTGGCTGACTGCCTCCCGTCACTTCATGCCCTGCCCTCCACCCCCAGAGGTTAGGAGAAGAGCCTTCACTAGGCTGTACTAGGTATCTACTGATTCTACAACCATCTGAGTGGTAAGAGGGCTTCCAACTTCAGACTCATGGTTCTGAGCAAACACATTGACTTTCTGATCTCAAATATGTACATTCACCTACAACTGAACACACACAGGAGAGGCATGGATACACACCAGCCTGGCGACAGCTAAGTCAACAGGCTTTTTGGGCTACAGGATAAAAAAAAAAAAAAAAGCTCGGGAAGACATTATGACTTAGGTCAACAAACAATGAACTTGCAGTCTGGTAGAGCTGGCCTCTACAAAGCCACAGTGGGTGGTGAGGCAGACTAGGGTACAGGGAGTCCTGGTGCAAAGCTCCTCAGATAAGGTGCCTGGCCAACCTTGTGGGTCCTCAAGGAATAGGGCCTGGCCAGCGCAAGCCGTTATCAAAATAGCCACTTTTCAGGAGGACTGCTGGACCCCAGGAGTTTGAGGGTGCAGTGAGCTATGATGACGCCACTGTACTCTAGCCTAGGTAACAGAGCGAGACCTAGTCTCAAAAAAAAAAAAAAAAAGCCATCTTTCTCCTGCCACTTCCAGAAGGACTGAGCGACTTGCTCAGTCTCAGGCTGGGCTGTGCACCTCTGTGCATCAGAGCACGGCTCCCTCTCTCTTCCTGAGCCTCTTCCCCAGTTCTCTCATGTTTGATGGGCCAGAAGTCTCACACACATTAAAAACCAAAACACACACAAAAAACAAACATACACCAAAGTCAGCTCTGCCGGCAGCCAGAACAGCTGCCAACTTTCCCTTTTAAATACAGACCTCAGTTCCATTCTCTACTGGCAGAGGCGGGGGTGACGGAGAGACAGAATCAGGGGGAGGTGTCGGGGCAGAAGCAAACATGGGACACCAAGACCTACACCCCCAGCAGAGGGTGTTCCAGCCCCAACATCTTAAGTCACTCAGTGGGTGATAGCTTCGAAGGCTCGAGCTTTTGTTGTTGTTGTTGTTTGTATGTTTTGGAACTGCAAATAAGGATGAGGAGCCCATCTCTAGAAGTCTCCGGAAGATTTATACCAAAAGATACCAGAACACACAGAATGTTTTACAAACAAGTACCGTGAGTAGGTATCAAGTACTGAACGCTCTGTTCAGTGTCTGAACCCAGTGAGGAAAGAAAAGGTTTTTATTAGACTGCTTTTCGCATAATGGAGTCTAAGATGCCAGGGAGAGCCCGGCCTGCCCATGAGCGAGGGGACTGCATTCCCTTAGTCAAGGGACAGGGGAGTGAAGGAACAGGGGGTGTTTGTGGGAAGCAAATGGTCTAGGCTTATGCAAGAAGCTGACAGCAAAGGGCTTGCTTTGTTCAGCCTCAAATCGTTTTCCACATCCAAGTTCTCCCAGCAACTTGTTTAAAAAGTGAGCTTCAGGAAGAATGATTCACTAACCAGGAACAACAGTTTCCTTTCTGGACAGCACCAAAGGAAAAGAGGTTTGAAATGGGGCCCACCTCTTCCCCAAAAGTATAAGGAAGGAAGTATGGGGGGGATCTCAATTAGTAACCAGAAATGCCATGTAAATATGTCACAGTTATGCCATGTCACTACTTCATAGTTTAAGGTGCTTGCTCATTTCACCCCAGTCCGTGAGGTGAAGTCTGTGTTTTCTGCTTTTTAGAGACGCCTTCCTCACACTGCCTATGTCCGTACCAGGAACTCAAAGAGTGCTTACCAAATGCAATCATCTCCTTTAAGCTTTAAACAACCTCCCATTTTTCAGATAAATAAAACTTGACACTTAGGTACTAAATCCTCTGCTTAGGGCCACCCAGCATATAGGTGACAGACCCAGGAACACTGCTATCCTCTCTGCTGTGGGAGAATAGTGGAGGCAATGCTGCCCCTCCGTGTTTAATTTTGGGTTGCTGGGTGAGTGAGACTCTCTTTTTGAGGCAGCAGCTTTGCTGGGCTGGCCCAGCAAGGGCTGGCTCCTGCGACAGTCACAGTGATCTTGCAGTCCCTGAGTACTCTCAACAGTGGGAGGAGCCGCCAGAGCCAGGCAGGGTGACAGCGACAGAGGGGAAACCACAGTGGAATTACAAGTTGGTGATTACCATGAATCCACGTGACATGCAATCTTGGCTGCGTGACAGAGAGTAGCTGGGGCACTAGAGGAGGAGGTAAGAACGGGTAGGGAGGGGGGACAATCTAGGCCTGGATTCCAGAACACCAAAGCAGCTGGTGGTAAGGGTTACTGGGCTGGGAAGTATCCAGCACCTGCCAAGTCAAGAAAAATAGAGGCAGATCTAAGTCTTGTCCCTACCAAACCAATGGGTTTCCAAACCTGCTCAGATAGAATCTAATTTTCTTAACAAGCCAGAAGGGGAGACAAACGGCTCTTACGCAGTAGTTCTCAACCTTGCACATCAGAGAAGGACTCTTGTCTGTACATCAAAGTCATCTGTGCAGCCAGCCCCTGGAGATTCGCATTAAGGTTTGGAGCAGGGCCCAGTATCTACAGGTGTCACTGAAGCACAGTCAGGGCTAGAGAATCGGGCACAGACCAAATGAGCACAGGCACAGGCTTTGGACACCACAGGCACAGGCTCTGGACACCACAGGTGTTGACTGTGTCTTGCCACTTCTGGGTGACCTCGTAGAAGCCACCTGAGTTGAGCCTTAGTGTTATCATCACTAAAATGGGGTGCACCAGGGTTAATGACAGTGTTGGCCAAGTGTCTCTCATGCACAATGCTGAATAAACAGTAGCTAATAGTATTAACATGATTGTTTATAATACTTACTCTAAGACTATTGGCAAATAGACCCTGGCCAGCCCAATGAACCAAGACAGCCTCTACCCGGCACAAACTGGCTGGTGACATGTTCTGCCTGATCACTAGTCCTGACTTCCAGAGGTACCTGAGCAGGCACACGCAGCACTTTTTACGGTCTGCTGCCTCATGGTTTTCCTGGCCCTGCTTAGTGATCACATGAGCAGAGGTGTCCAACCTTTCCAGGCAATAAAGCGCCGACAAAGCCAATTTTGCCATGAAAAGTACACACAGATATATGGGGGTGTCTAAGACAGGTGAAGGCCAGACCCGGCGCCCCTTATGCCCTCCCCTCCCAAGACTGGGAAGCAAAAGACGTACCCCTGGCAGGTCGTAAGGTGAATTCACTCGATGAGCTGTCCTGTCTCCCGGGGGTGGTACTCTTGACTGGGAATCTCTTCTCCTGAACCAGTGGTAAAAATTATCCACTGGTGCAGTTAGGTGATGGGATTATAACCAAAAATGGCATAGTAAAAAATCTTTGAGACAAAAATCAAATTTTCCTTAAGAGCTAAAGTTAGAGTCAAAGTTTCCTCTAAGATAAAGAATAGCGATCAGGCGCGGTGGCTCACACCTGTAATCCTAGCAATCTGGGAGGCCAAGGCGGGCGGATTGCTCGAGGTCAGGAGTTCGAAACAAGCCTGAGCAACAGCGAGACCCCGTCTCTACTATAAATAGAAATAAATCAATTGGCCAACTAATATATATAGAAAAAATTAGCCGGGCATGGTGGCGCATGCCTGTAGTCCCAGCTACTTGGGAGGCTGAGGCAGACGGATTGCTTGAGCCCAGAAGTTTGAGGTTGCTGTGAGCTAGGCCGATGCCACGGCACTCACTCTAGCCTGGGCAACAAAGTGAGACTCTGTCTCAAAAAAAAAAAAAAAAAAAGAATAGGCCAAAGACTCTTTGCCACAAGGGTCATGGCCATGGTAAAGCTTTAGACCCTGTGCAAAACACTCTCCTGGCCATGACCCACTCCTGCCCTTCCAATCAGACCCTAGTTTGTTCAGAGGCCACTGAAAATGGGCACCAGGTCCTAACCTTGTATCTTCCACAGAAAGAGGGGGAGAATGCAAGGACTTGGGGGCACCTTGTTTGGTGTGCCTGTTCCCACAATGCACATGATAGGCAGAAGAGATCCAAGGCCCTTCAACACCCTGCCGGGCACAGACAGAAAAGAGAAAGAGGCTGGGCATGGTGGCTCATGCCTGTAATCCTAGCACTCTGGGAAGCTGAGACGGGCAGATCGTTTGAGCTCAGGAGTTCGAGACCTGCCTGAGCAAGAGCGGGACCCCCGTCTCTACTAAAAATAGAAACAAATTAGCTGGACAACTAAAACATATAGAAAAAATTAGCCAGGAATGGTGGCGCATGCCTGTAGTCCCAGCTGCTTGAGAGGCTGAGGCAGACGCCACAGCACTCTAGCCTGGGGAACAAAGTGAGACTCTGTCTCAAAAAGAAAAATGAGGGAACTAAAAACACTATTAAAAAAAGAAAAGAAAAGAAAAAGAAAAAAGGACACTGCTCTTCCTTGTTCTGGGGTTCCCTCTGCTCTGGACACAACAGGTCAGTGGGTCTCAAACTCTTTCTCATCAGAATTGCCTGGGGTGTTTAGAAAATAACTCTGACCAAATGAATTAGAATCTCTCCAGAAACCAATGTTTCAAATATAAGTTCCCCAAAGTGATTATAAGCAGCCGATCAAAGCACGAGAGCTACAGTTGACACAGCAAGCAGAAAGAAATCCAAGAGACAAAAAGGCAGCCCAGATCAGCGCTGTCACATCATAACACAAGTGGATCAGATGGGAGGGCGCTTCTCCAGGACCCCAGGTACTGCAACAGTGTCACCCCACCCCCCTCCATTTGAGATTTTCATCTTTCTCTTCTCTAATCTGTGAAGCTACCCACTTCATATTTTTTGTCCTTCTTGGTAAAAGGGTGAGCAATTCCAGCTGATGAGTGTCTCTTGTGCTTCCTGTTTGCTTTAGAGACTTCCTCTCGCTGAGAGTCCCGGCACAGCCTGGATAGTGAGCTGATCAGGGAAACCAATCAGACTGTTGACCAGAGGGTAGGTGATTAGCAGGGTGGCCAGAAAACCAAGTGACCCCGCCCAGCGTCCCTGAAGGTGGCTCTACCCAGTGACTCTTCAGCTGTACTTCACTACGGAAAAAGGCATTCCTGAATATTTAACACCACTAAGAATCAGGCAAGAGAAGGCAGGAGCTTAAACAGAGGGAAACAAGGGACACAGGAGGACAGGCAATTAAGTTCCAAGGCTAAAGTGGAAGACATATTTTTAAAAAGCCAAATGAAGCCAAGGTTTTGCAAATGCTTCACAGGCTCAGATTAGTTGGGGAGATGATTTACCCACAGACTCAAGAACACAGCCATTCCTCAAAGGGAAAAACCACCACTGCTGGTATACAAGAACAGAGGATAGACTCACAGCAGGACTCCCCAGGCTTCTAGCTGGTAGCAGACCCAGAGGAGAGAAGAATCTGAAGCAACACAAGCCATGAGCCACACGAGGTACCCACACACCTTCCCCAGCATGACCAGCAGGTTAGGACTTGGGAGGCTGAACTGTGTCTGGATCAAGCCTGGCTCCACCGTTTATTAGCTGTGTGACCTTGGCCAAGTCACACAAACGATCACTATCAGCTTCAGTTCCTTATCTAAAAAATGTCACCATTTAATACTAATTGCACAGGACTGTAGTAAAAGTTAAATAATGTTGAGAGTGTACAGCACAACATTAGGCTGAAGGTAAGGTTCTGACAAGTGGCAGGTTTGTTATACCAGAGGCTAGCTAACTAGCTGTGACTAGCTGAATGTGAGAGCTCAACAGGGCCTTACAGACCTGATCCTATTCTTGACAGCTATAGAGAAGGAAATGAAAGTGAGGCGAAGTGACCTGCCCAGAGTCACACAGCCAGTTGGTGGCAAAGCCCAACCCTGCCCAAGACTCACAACTCAAACAAGGCTCCCCTATCAGAAACACAAAGAAAAACCCAAGAATAATGTCATTACATCTACTAAGAATAACGGGGGCTACAACCTTCTATGGATGCTTTAATAAAATATGGCTTGGCTTTTAGCTGGGGAAAATTAGTTTTCTATCAACCTAAAAAAGGCATGCTGCTGGATGGAAAAGTTTTATATCTTGATTTGGCAGATAAAGCACACAGATATAAACAAATGTAAATACCCATCAAAGACCAGCTGGGCACAGTGGCTCTTGCTTGTAATCCCAGCACTTTTGGAGGCTGAGGTGGAAAGATCCCTAAGGGCAAGAGTTCAACACCAGCCTGGGTGACAGTGAGACCCTGTCTCTACAAAAATAATTTTACAAAAATTAACTGGTCATGGTGGGGCACACCTATAGTCCCAGCTACTAGGGAGGCTGAGGCAAGAGGATAACTTGAGCCCAGGAATTCAAGGTTACAGTGAGCTATGATTGGGCCACTGCATCCCAGCCTAGATGACACAAGACCCTGTCTTAAAAAAACCAAAAATCCATTGAGCTGTACACTTAAGATTTGTAAACTTTATTAAACCTGGAGAGTGTGACAGAGTAAGCTTCACCCTGGAAGCCAGAGCTCAACAGCTCAGGTTGAGATTTGGTCAGGACTCTGATGGGGTGTGTTGGGCCAGGGCTGGGGCTCCTTATTCCACAAGTAAGCAGGATGCTTAGGAGAGGTGGCAGCAGGGGGGAGGAAGGAGGAGCTTCCTTTCCACAGCCATGGGAGGATGACTCCCTTTCCAGGGGAAAGTAAAATAAACAAACCATCCCAGAGGGAAACTCAGAGTGAGCTGGGTCCTCTACCATGAGGACAAGCCCTTGAATCTGCAGGAGTACCCAATTCCCTTACCTGGGATTGGTTCCATTTCATTCCCCTTTCAATGACGAGACTTCTGAAGCCGAGTGCCTATACTTCCACAGTGAGGCCCCAGTGGAGTTCACCAGAGCCCCAGGTGTGGCCACCAACTCCACTCATGCCTGCGAAGGGAGCCAGTGTGCAGGGGCACCAAAGGCTTAGCCTGGACACACATTACCAGGTGGTCCTTCACCATGCACTGTCCACGCTCAGCCTGGAACTTTGCCAGGAGTCAGCCAGGACAGAGCATAGCTGGCCCATGCTGCCTGTTCCCCTGTGCAGTAAGGCCTGCTGGGTCACTCAGAGCAGATGACAAGCCAAGTCAGGTAGAAGACACCCTTGAGGGACAGACTCCCAGCTTCCCAGGACCCTCCCCCAGGAAGACCATGAAATCCTTCTGCTTGAGCTGCCTTCCCATCCCTTGACAGCAGATGGGCTCCTCGGAGAGGCCTGGAGAGGAAGAAAGCACTGGATGGAGGCCTCCAGTGCCTGCTCCCTCCTGTGCCCACAGGGAGGAAGACTGCTAGGGGTGGGAGGACATCTCCATGTATCTGCTGACACAGCGTGGTCAGTGTGGTCTGCCCGTACTGTCCACAGAAAGGCCCCAGGATTCACAAGCAAATCCAGAATTCTCAGTTATCGGCTCTGCTGGCCAACAGAGAAGTTAGTGGGCTGGGAGGCAGAGTGGTGGGGAAGGCCCAGACAGGGGACTGCCAGTAGCTGCGCCACGCAGGGCTTATCTTGCCCAATGAATGTAAGAGGAACTGGGGGGCCAGGGCCCTAACGCTGACATTCCAGAGAGACTATTCTCCCTAAGAAGGCCTGGCCTCCAACTCAGCCCACCTCAGTCAGTAAGGTTGGCACATTCTCTGCCCCTATCCAGGGCTGCTTTTTAAGAAGCCTCCAGTAAGAGCTCAACTTGAAATTCAGAACTTTCTGCAGCCCAAATCCACACACGTATCCAGCCACATGGCATAGTGAGGATGACAACATGGACATGGGGTAGCTCACACTCCACCACTCAGCTCTTCACCTGCCAATGCCAGGTGGGATCCTAGGAAGAGAGTCAGCCAAAACAAAGGTTCTTCCCTGTCCCCAGCCTACACGTGCTGGTGTCCCAGGATGGGGCAGGAGTCACGTGGAAGCCAGTCCGGACTCATACAGGTTCCATAATCCTTGCAACTACCCTGCATTTGTTGTGCTCTTGCAGTTACTATTTACTGAGGACATTTCTAACTGGAATCTCATCAATGCAGGGCTTCCCCTCTATCTCAGGAGGGGCTCTGCAGGGGCCAGGAGTGCCAACCAGGATAGTTGCCACTTCTGCTGCTGCCCCAGGCCCAGAAAGATTCCAGGAACCTCTGGCTGAACGTCAGGATGGTCAGCACCTGCTCATCCAACTACTCACACCAACTGCCACCTCTCACAAGCCCTTCCTGTCTTTGCAAATGACAAAAAACAAAAGAAATCCAGTTTAAATTACTGCCCTGGTTGTCTTGCCTTCAGCTCCCAACCAGGGAGCAGAGGTCACGTTTTTGAGAGGAAAGCAGGGGAAAAGAGAATCAGGTATCAGATACCAGCAAACAAAATTCCTCCTGCTCAACACCACACACACACTGCGGTCAGAGGCTGCCCAACTAACTAGAACAAAGTCAAAGTTCTCACTGTGAGAGCTGAGGGACAGTGGCTGTCCTCAGAAGCCTGGCTGCCAAAGAATAATATTATAAACAGACTAATTTTTGCTGGACAAACTATAGAATGGTGCCAGGTAAAGAGATGAAACAATCAATGGGTCCAAACAAGTTGTAATGAGTGAATCACGTCTGCTTTCATGGCCCCAAATTTTCATAAGACTATTGTAGGTGACAAGAGGTTGGAGAACTTGGGGGACTGAGGGGTGGGAGTGAGAAAGCAAGAGAAACTAAGAGCACTGTTGCGGATGGAAAGGACCACATTACTAAATTCTCAAAGGCTGGACTATGGGTTTCCTTTCTGTTAACTGCACACAACATCAAGCCTGACACACAGTAACTACTGTGTGTCATAAGTATGGTGAACTGAGCATCTGATATAGGTACTGCCCGGCCTGCTTGGGCTTGGCAAAAGAATGGAGTAGTCGAGGGCTTAAATATGCATCCACCTGCCAGGGGGTTCAGATTCCCCAACAGAGCCCTAGGCCAGCCAAGGAGCTGCCTCACTCCCCCAGGTAGGACTTCGTAGGTCCCTACTGCACAGGGGTTAAGAGCACAAGTCAGAAAACTTCAGCTCAAGTCCTGGAGCCACTATTTACTAGGGTGGCCTTATGTTGTGTCACTGAACCCATTTCCTTACGTGCAAAATGGAGAGACTAGTACCACCTGTATCCCAGGGCTGTTGGGAAGATGATAGATGTAAGACTTAGCAAAGGGCCTGGCTCACAGAAGCACTCAGTAAATGCTTATGGGACAAGGAAGCCCCTGCTCTGAAAGTCCCTGTAAGGGGAGTGCACTCCTCAATCCAAACATGCAGACACCATTCTTGCATTCCTTTTACCTCCATGTCCCTGGACCCTATTCTTCACACCCCTCATTTAGAGAGAATGCTGGTAGGATGTCTTTTGTCTGTTTCCTAGAAGAGTGATCCCCAACCTTTTTGGCACCAGGGACTGTTTTCATGGAAGACAATTTTTCCACGGACCAGGGAAGGGGGGATGGTTTCAGGATGATTCAAGCGCATTACATCTATTGTGCACTTTATTTCTATTATTATTACATTGTAACATATAATAATTATACAGCTCACCATGGGTTGGGGACCCCTGTCCTAAAAGATGCCCAATGTCCTGGGCGACCCCAACACCGCAACCTTGTATTCTCTGGAGACTGGCTCCCAAACCACAAGAATGGGCAGACCCACCATCCAATAAATCAGCCTTGAGCGGTAGCCGCAACCAGGCAAACCATAACCCCTATTTAAAAAGCTCCAAAACACAAAGTATCTTAAAGACCAAATACCCTTCCTATCATCTCAAAGCCTCTTTCAGGAAAGGGAAGAAGCAGTTCAGTTATGGAGAGGGGGTAGGGACAGGAATAGGGCAGCTGACAAAGAAACCAGAGTTCCTTTTAAACCCCAGCTGAAAATGCTAGAGGTTTGGAAATTGGCGTCATTAATCACCACGGCTATCTGAGCAGCTCAGACAGCAATTTGATGACTAGGAGAGCAGCCAGGGTTAGGGAGGCCACCCACACCCTCCTCCACCCCTGGGACGCCTCTGCCAGAGCCACCTGCAGGGGACACACATGGAGCTATGAATAGAAGGCAAGAGGCTTGTAAACCAACTCCTATTAAGATCCCAAGTTAGTGTTTCTAGCAGGGCTCAAGTTACACATTTTCAGAAAGATGACAGTATAACGGAAGGATTTAAGCTATTCAATGATGCAGGATCACAGCTCAAAGTGACAGCCTGCCCCGAGGCTGCCCTGAGCCACAAATCCTGCACAAACCCTCCCCAAAGGGGCAGTTTGTTTTTGAATGGCAGCAAAAGATGCTGGCCTGACCATGTGGAATCTCCTATGAGACTCAGAGTCCAGGAAAGTTTGGCTGGAGAATTTAACACCTGAAATATACAATAATTATGTACATACACCTCATCTTCCTGAACACCTCATCTTCCTAACTGGATGGTAAATTCCAAAGTAAACACTAAATCTAACCATTTTTTGGACTAGTCACAGTGTAAGGCAAGGGTAGAAGTACGAATGAGTGAGTAGAGGGGCAACAGCCAGCTACTGGGATCAACTCCTAGGACTAGAGTTGATTCTCACAGTATAAATTCCCCAGGTACATCTCCACCTTACCCAACTCTGGAGTCTTCAGGAACTATGACTAACCATCAAGAGAAGAAACAACTTGACCCATCCACATAACTCCATGTCAACATACTTGAAAGAAAAAGTTTGCTAAAAAGGCAGTGGTCTTGGAGAGCCAGCTGAACCTAGGACTGGGGCATCTTGTAGTGCCAAAAAGTAAGGAAGTGCTCAAAAAATAAAACCAAAAAACCTCACAATGACCAGGGTAGGTCAAAGAGAGCTGAAAGAGCAGCCAATGACCAAAGCTGAAACAATCTGTGCAACAAAATAAAGTAGTATTGGATTATAAACCAAAGTGTCAAATAAATATCCATGAGTTCATACAGATATAAATAACTGGACAAATAAATGAGGGAGAATTGACAAATCTCTTATGTAGAAGAATTTAATAATTCACATAGATACTCCGTCCTCAAGGAGGAGCATAACTCACTACTCCTTAAGTGTGGGCTACACACAGTGACTTCCTTCCAAAGGGTGCAGTATGAAAAGGGGAGGGGGCAGAACAACTTTACAGCAAAGAAAGCTGACAAACATCATCTCAGCCATGTGATCAAGGTTGACATTAACCATAAGTCATGTTATCATGTTGATTTTATGCATCCTTGATATGATACGATGAGAGTAGCATTTTACCTTTGTGGTCTTCCTCCCAACAACTCCTAACCCCTAGTCATGAGAAAAACATTGGGTAAATCCCAATTGAGGGACACTCTATAAAATACTCGAGCAGGCCAGGCACTGTGACTCACACCTGTAATCCTAGTACTTTAGGAGGCTGAGGTGGGAGGATCGCTTGAGGCCAGGAATTCAAGACCAGCCTGGGTAAAAGCAAGACCCCCATCTGTACAAAAATGTAATACAAATTAGCCAGGCATGGTGGCTCACGCCTGCAGTCCGAGCTACGTGGGAGGCTGAGGCAGGAGGATCACTTGAGCCCAGGAGTTTGAGGTTGCAATGAGCTATGATGATGCAACTGCTCTCCAGCCTGGGAGACAGAACAAGACCCTGTCTCAAAATAAATAAATAAATAATAAAACAAAATAAACAAAATACTCGACCAGTAGTCGTCAAAACCATCAAGGTCATCAAAAACAAAAAAAAAGTCTGAGAAACTGTCACAGCTAAGAGCAGCCTAAGGAGACATGAGGACTAAATGTAATGCAGCACCTTGGAAGAGAAAAAGGACATCAGGTAAAAAACCTAAGGAAATCTTAATAGAGATGAACCTTATTGCAAAATATATACAAATATAAGATGTTAATAATAGGGGGAAACTGGGTGTGGGGATTTGTGAGAAAATATGTATTACCTTCAGTATTTTTCTCAAACTAATCTGAAGGAATAAGTTTATAAAAAAAAAAAAAAGCAGTGACTCATCTTGTGGCAAAATGAGATCCAAGGACTCCACTTATCGTCAACTTCCGTTCTTGAAGATAAGGTAACTTTACGTGGAGCTGGGCTGAGGGGTGTTGGGAAGGGGTGGTTGGGAGGCAGAGCAACAGTCTGTGGGCGAGCAGAGGATAATATCCAAACATGGCAGGCACAGGAGCAGGGGGTTTAAAGGCCACACCTGCGGAATACACGCCCCTCTCACCACCAGCCAGTCCAAACAGCTGTTGCTACTACTTTCTCAAGGCCACCCTCACTCAACGAGCCTTGTGCAGACACGCAGAAGAGCAGCCAGGGACAGAGTTAAATCACTTCCACTGATCCTTGCGCCAAGCACTGGCCTGGGGTCGGTGCCACCTCACCACACACAGTCGCAGAAGTTAAGCACGTTCTGCCTTGCCATGAGATGCACATGCTAGAGAAGCTGGTCCACAGGACTGTGGACAGCCAGAGCCATGCCCGCCTTCTCCTATTTAACCCTTCCCTGGATATGGAGATTTGGAGAGCTTTCCCCACTGGAAATTCAGTTTGTGACCTGCCATCTCCATCATCTGTACTGTAACATCCATTCTATTTACTTGTTTGCTCTCCTATTTGTCTGTAACTTTTTGGAGGCTGGACCAAAGGTATGGCTCAAGCTTTAGAATCAGATGGATGGAAGTCTGAATCCCAGGTTTACCACACCCAAGACGTGTGAGTTTAAGAAGAATGTGTTTGGGCTGGGCGCGGTGGCTCACGCCTGTAATCCTAGCACTCTGGGAGGCCGAGGCGGCGGATTGCTCGAGGTCGGGAGTTCGAAACCAGCCTGAGCGAGACCCCGTCTCTACTAAAAATAGAAAGAAATTAACTGCCCAACTAAAAGTATATATACAAAAAATTAGCCGGGCATGGTGGTGCATGCCTGTAGTCCCAGCTACTTGGGAGGCTGAGGCAGGAGGATCGCTTGAGCCTAGGAGTTTGAGGTTGCTGTGAGCTAGGTTGTATGCACGGCACTCACTCTAGCCTGGCACAAAAGTGAGACTCTGTCTCAAAAAAAAAAAGAAGAATGTGTTTAAGGGAGAGGGCAGGCATTTGCTTCAAGCAGGATTTGAATATCTGTCCTTTCCTTTAACAACTTCAGTGGGGGGCCTACTACGCTATGGACTAAACATCTAGAGATAAAACAGGGCACAACTGTGCCCCTAAAGGGCTCATACACCAGGGAAGGAGGCAGACAACGAATAATGAAGATAGCAGCAAGATAAAGCCCACAGCCTACTTGGGGCAAAAGAAGGGTTCACAGAGGAGGTGACATTCAAACTGAACTTTGGGAGAAAAGTAGGGAGAAGAAGCTTCCAGGCAGGTGAAGTAAAGAGCATTCTAGGCAAAGTGAACAGCATACATTTATTTAATAGCCCAGAGTGGGTACAAGGAGAAGGTTGTATTTATTGCAGAGTGATACAAGCACAGACTTTCCATTCTAATCCCTACTCTGCACTTACAACATCATTCCTCACTACAACATGGAGATTAAACACGGTACCTGAGGTGGCTGTGAGGACTAAATGAGTCAATACATGCTAAGGGCTCTCAAAAGTACCTGGGACATGGTAGGCAAAGCTCAAAAAGTTTAGCCTTTATTTGTATTATTGTTTCTGTATATAGAAGATGGGGCCCTTTACTCTGAAAACTAATCTCTTATAATACCTAGTTATTAATGCAAAAGACTCCTTCAAAAACATTGAATGCTCATCAGCCAAGGTTCTTAAAAGCACTATTATCTGGGTTTTGCGATATCCTAGGTTTATAGATTCTACCTGAAGCAGTGCTTCTCAAATGGCCAAAAGTACCTCTAACTCAGGTCATAGGAGAGGAAATGCAAAACTCCAGGAGTCTGAGATTGAACCCAAAGCAGCCTGCTATAATCCAAATATTGTCTAAGTTTCCTGTTTTAGCTTTAATTCATGCAAACTTTGCACTCCATCTATAATTGATTCAGGACTGTTTTAATATGAAAATGCTTACAACTGAGTATAGACTGAAGTCCTAGAAGATGCAAAGACCTCATTTAGTCTGTGGCTCTGAGAATCCCAGTGTGAGAAACAGTTATAGCCTTAGCATTCTTCTCTGTAAAATGGGAATACAACCCACATGGATTCTGTTCAACATCTATGAAATGAGACAATATGTGAAACCATCAAGCATTACCAGGCATTGCAGCAGACATTTGGTACAAATGTTCAATCAGAATTCTTGGGTTGAGGCTGGGTGCGGTGGCTCACGCCTGTAATCCTAGCACTCTGGGAGGCCGAGGCGAGTGGATCATTTGAGCTCAGGAGTTCGAGACCAGCCTGAGCAAGAGCGAGACCCCCATCTCTACTAAAAATAGAAAGAAATTAGGTGGACAACTAAAAATATATATAGAAAAAATCTAGCCGGGGTGGTGGCACATGCCTATAGTCCCAGCTACTCAGGGGGTTGAGGCAGAAGGATCGCTTGAGCCCAGGAGTTTGAGGTTGCTGTGAGCTGGACTGATGCCACGGCACCCTAGCCCGGGCAACAGAGTAAGACTCTGTCTCAAAAAAACAAAAACAAGTAAACAAAAAAAAGAATCCTTGGGTTGAATTACAATGCACTTTCAAAACTCCATTTACCCACCAGAGGCAATTGCTATTTTGTGGGGATCTATTCTCTGCCAGGCACTGAACTAGCTCCTTTACCCTTTATTTCTACTTCTGCAGGATATTTAGTATCCCCATTTTACTGGAAGAAACAGAGGCTCAGCGAGGTCAAGTAACAAGCCCAAGGTCACACAACTGGTAAGTGGGAGAGTCCGGATGAGAACTCAGGGCCAACTGACTCCAAAGCTCTCATATCTCCCACCCCACCACACTGCCTCTTTGTTTACAAGAGTTAGAAGAAAAAGGTTCTAAGAAGTACTTGCTTGGTGGGGCTGAATTTAAATTTTTGAGCTTGCTCTGTTTCCATATAAATTCTTGTGATACGAACTCCAGGTGGAAAGCCACATTCTTCCCCCTTGCAAGCAGCAGGCAGCAACAAAGAGGAATCAGAGGGCTAATCAGAGGCGAGGCCAGCCTGCCCCTTTCGTTTTCTAGCCATCATGACTTTCAGGATCCCAAGAAATTAATGGTATGCAGATGTCAGCAAACTTCTGGGCCCTGAAGGGAACTGACTTGGGACTCCTGTCATGGTCCCGAGGCAGAGGAAAAGGGGGTTGAGACAGAAAATAGAAGGTTGGGTAGAGGTGGAGGAAGAAAACAGAAGCAGTGGAGGAATGCCAGAGATGAGGAAGGCTGAAGGGTTGAGTCCGCACTTGTGCCAATGCTTACTCAACCTTCATGTTCATTCATTTAAGAAACAGACCAGACCAATAGAGGGCCCACCATTAGAAAATATGAGGTCACATCTGACCCTAAATCCCAAGCTCCGACTCTACCACTTTCTAACTATACAATCTTAGGCAAGCTACTTAAGTTCCTTCAGCATCATCACTAAAGTGGGGATACAAATCTCACTATCCCCCAAGACACTTGTGGAAAATGCATATGAAAAGAATTCTGCAACTTTAAAATGATTTATAAAAGTGAATTGTCAGCTGGGTGCGGTGGCTCACAGAGTGCCTGTATTCCTAGCACTCTGGGAGGCCAAGATGGAGGATTGCTTGAAGTCAGGAGTTCGAGACCAGCCTGAACAAGAGTGAGACCGTGTCTTTACAAAAAATAGAAAAATTAGCCAGGCATAGTGGCATGCATCTGTACTCCCAGCTACTTGGGAGGCTGAGGCAGGAGCATTGCTTAAGCCCAGGAGATTGAGTTTGCAGTGAGCTGATGACACCACTGCACTCTAGCTGGGGCAACAGAACAAGACTCTGTCTGAAAAAAAAAAAAAAAACTGTTATCACCCCTCTACTATATGACAGCCAACTAGTTGTGAGAGGCAAGAGTGGAGAGAGGAACAGTATGTTAGAGGAGGGGCTTCTGTCCCACACAGAGCCCTCCCTCTTTTTGCCAAGCAGTGTAAAACCTCTTCTTGGAGTTTATAATATCTGGATGCCAGAAGTAGCTACATTACCACCCAGAGCACTGATGCCTTTCTTGTTTCTCTGAAAGGGAGAGCTTCTCCTTCAAAAGTCTATTTCTGAGTCAGAGCTGGGAGAGCACATCCAGACAAAGCAAATATGGTCCCCTTGGATGGCTGGTCAGCCCCATCCCAGGACTTCTGAAGAGTGGCAAACAGTAGTCCACCCTAAAGAGGTAAGTCTGGTCAGAGACCAATGGCTGGTGAGCACTCAGGCCTCTCTGCCCTGCCCTTCAGAGGCACAGGCTGACCAGATTAGAGACTCTAGGTTGGCCGAAGTTTCCAATGAGTCCATACAAATATAAAGCTTGTGGTCCAGTTGTTGATTCTAGTAAGGAAGGTTCTTTTTGTTGTCCAATAAAAAGTGAAATAAGGTCTGGTTCAAAAGATTGTAAGAATTAGACACCAGAAACTGTACAAAAGTATAAGAAGAGCTCAAGGCAAAAAATTTCAGCACTTATAGTTGCATCTGAGGGTGGTAAGAGTGGCCTAGAACACTGAAGAGCTGCAGAAATTCCCAAGGATTGCATGGCTTTCCCTCCCTTCCTCCACTGCAGATAGCAAGGGTCAGTCGTGGCTTCAGAGTCAGGCTGTTCCTCATTAAGGTACAGTCTCCGGCCTGTACTTTGGCCACATAACAAAGAAACTTCCAGCTTTTGAAACAGCAGCTATTTCATATACCTAAGGCCCAAGCAATAGACAAGGATCATATGTCAAAATGGTTGAAGGAATGAATTTGTACTTTCTGGCATGTATGGGAATTCTTTGGAATACAAAAATTAGCACATTAATAATTCAAAGCTGCCACTGTGAACTTATTCCTCTGTTTTAAGTCTTTGCCCAGAAGGGATTGGAGACAGACCTGGTGTGTTGTGAACCTGTTGCTCAGGGTGCTGTATGTGCATGTGTTTGGGGGTGGGAAAGAGCTGGCCCTTCAATTCTGGACTCGTCATTTTTGGTCTTATTCTCCTCTTTATAGACCAGCAGACAGCAGTCCCTGGAGGAGCAGTCCCTCTAAGGCAGCTTGGAACCACTCACGTGCTCTGGAAAGGACAGAGCTGAGCCTGGAGCAAGGGGGGAGGAGGAGGGGAGAGACAAGATAATGAATGGGCAGATCCACCCTGATCTATGATCTGTAGCTAGGATTGAGCAAATCTCAGCTAAATTCTTCAGAAGCAGGAAGAGATACACACTTAGAGAAAAACATAACTAGAGGACTGGCTCGGGGGAGACGGGGCAAGACAAGACGACAGTTCATTCCTAATAAGTGACCCAGATTTCAAACTCTGCTGAGGTCCTGGTTGGCTTTCTGGCTCGGAAAAAGAGAGGAAGTAAAGAGTTGTGGAAGCGCAAACACACTTAAATGCTTGTGGAACGGTCTCACCCAGACCACCCCGCCCCCAAAGGAAATCAAGATATTCCTCTAAGGCTGGAGGGGACACCAGTTCTGAGGGACGGGGGAAAGAAAGCGACGACAGACAGCACTCACTGCCACCTCTAAAGGAGAAGGGGGACAGGTTCCTTCACACCCTGACAAAGATCCTCCAATTCTGGGAGCAGAGGCAAAGAAACTTAGGGTCCCTCTCTCCCACAACTGGACTAGACAGGCCAGAGGAGAACCATGGGGTTTTCTCCAAGGCTCACGAAAGGCAGGTAAGCGAAGAAGCCCCCTCCCCCTTTTGGTCCGACGCCTGGGGAACCCCTTAAGAGGGGGCTACGGGTCGGGGGAGGGGTCAGTACCCCCTAAGCTGGAGTTGGGCGGAAGGAACGGCTGCCCTGGAGAGGCTTGAACGCAGGCGAGACACTGGGTCCCGAGCCACGCATACTCACGGCGGCTCCGGGGCGGCGGCGTTTCTTGGGGCCGGGTCTCGGGCAGGCTCCGCTTTTCTTCCCCCCGGCGGTGTCCCAGGCTCCGGCCTCCACTTCCGCCTTTCAGCCGCTCCGGATCCGGATCTCCACCTTCTCCCCGCCCCTCCATACTCCCGGGCGACTGACAGGGCAGAGAGACCAATGGGAGGCCAACTCTGCAAGTGACGCCAGTGGGGCGCGAGAGAGGAGGGAAGGCGCGCGCGAGGCACGGCGGGACTTGTAGTTCACAGCGCTGGGAGGAGCCGCCAGCTGCCTGGGACTCAGGCTTAGGGTGGAGCCGGCTGCCGGCGAGGCGGAGCTGCGCCAGGAACTTTTTAAGGCCAACCGAGCCTACGGCGCCAACCGCGTTGCCGCGGGTTCCAGGTGCCCCGAGGGAAGGCGGGTAGCGGAGCGTCAGAAGAAGGCAGAGAACTCTGTGCGCAGAATTAGGAAAGGAAAAACATGGTGTGAATGAATATGCACAGGAGGCCGCGTGGACTAGCCCTGTGTACTCGCTAGCGCTAGCAGGAGAAGCCCCTGTCCGCACTTGCCGGTCAAGTCAGCTCTAGGAGCCGGAATGCTGGAGGCATTTGTGATGGGAAGGCGATGAAAGCGCTGTAGGAAGGGTTCTCTGGAGAATACTGGGTGAGATCAAAAGGAGAGCTTCTGCCACCGCCTCCTACTTTGCCTGGGCCCCTAAACACACCAGGACCACCTCTGTCTCTGTCTCCCCTCCTCCCATCCAGAGTCAGCTCTTCCTCAGGCGCCAAATACAGAGCTGGACAACCTATGCTTCGGCCCTCCTCCTTCGTAAATGTAAACTAAACCCCCACCCCCACCCTATACGGATCAGGACTATTTGTGTTTCTTCTGCTCCCCTCGATATGGATCAGAGCCACTTCTGCCCACCCCTATCTCCCAACACAGGCCAGTACCTCCTCTCTTTTGCATTTCACCCCCCCACACAAGGAAACTACTTAGAACCTTTACAGAATCAAAGATCACCGGACAGACAGCTGTGGCTATTGTGCCTATGACTCTGGCCAACATCAGTTAAGCCTTGGAGCCTGAACTAGAGAAATGACCTATCTGGGACAACCTGCCACAAAAATGCTCACATCTGATTCCATTGGGTCACGAGGGTGCTTATTTCTACAATATCCATAACCTCCCCTCCCCCTGCAGTGATCCTCAGAGAACTGAAAGGCAAGAGGGAAGAGAGGGTCTGGGAGGGCAGAGGGGATGGGGCACAGTGGCATTCCTAGGAGGTTCTTGGCTAGGACAAGCTCCTCCCCAGCCTGTGCCCTACATAGCCCTGCAACAATTCCTTATACGGGAGGGGTGGGGAGTCCCCTGGGCTCACCTTTCCAAGGGGGTGGGCCTGAGCCAGGACTGTGTGTGTATATATCTGGCCATGACGAGGATGGCAGGGAGAAGGGGGTATAACAGGTCCACAGTGACTCATTAAGGTTTCTCCCTCATCCCTGGGGCCCATGGTGGCGTGAATGTGGTGCCAAGTGGATTGTCTGGTGCCTTTGCCCTTCCTAGAGACAGCAACAGGGCCCTGGGGTATGGTGGGGGAGTGACTGCTGTGTTGGCTCCTCCAAAGCCCAGGAGCTCTCAGACCAACCCCCAGAAACGGCCAGAGCCAACAACTACAAAAATAAAGAATTTATTTCCTATCCAAAAGTGAGCCCAGGGTCTTGGGTGGTTAAAGGAGAGCTGGATACCAGGGCAAGTTTTGGAGAAGTCCAGGCCCTGAGTGAGACCATGTTGGAAACAGGAAGAACAGGCTTGGTTGAAGTCTGGGGGTGGAGGAAGGATAGGGAGTGCTGCTGGGACTGTTTTCAGTTGTTGGCAGCAGAAGAGACCACCGTGAGTGACAGCCTGCAGACAGACAGAAACAGAGATGTTGGCAGACCCACGCCCAGGAATAGAAACAGACATTACTCAACCCAAAAAGCACTAGCCAGGCACAAGGACCTGGGAGCACCCTCTAAGGCAGGGGTTGCAAACTCAACCCCAGCCCCACCCCAGACATTCCAAATTGGGTAGGGCCCAGGAATCTGCATTTTAATAGGTTCTCAGGTAGTTCTGCTAGACACTCAAGTTTTGGGAACTCCAGTACCCACAGACATCAGAAAAAGATTTCAGTGGAGGAAAGGCAACTGGGTGTTAGGAGATGGTCCAGAAATGTGATGACTGTGAAGTAGAGTCTATAAAGGACAGTGGCCACCCAACCCCAGCCAATTGCTGATTATTACCAGTGGAATGTTGACCCAGGGTGCTCAGATGTTCTAAAATTTTTAGAGAATGTAGAATATGTTCTGGATTTTTATGTGACCTGTCCTTTTTTTAATGTTGACAATTAATTCATATGTTAAAAATGCTATGAAAGCCAAAAAATACATGTCTGGGGCCTTTGGTTTGTTTCCTGTGCGGGCGGCAGGATGAGGTGAGCCCCTCCAGCCTGGGCTGTTTGTGGGTGGCCTAAGAAGTCTTGAGATGCTGAAATGCCAGCCAGAATCTCAAACCTATCTGTCTCTAGGTGACATGGCTCTCAGGGTCTCCAGCAGAGACCTGGGCACTGGGACAGAAGACCTCACAGTATCACTAAGCTATCTCCAGAACAGAATCCTGCAATCTATTGTTGTAGACACTGAGATCCTGCCCAATCTTGCCTCAGCCTTCATCTCCCAGGTTGGATCTGGGGCCCCTGCCCATCCCCTCTGCTCCCTCATCTCTACCTGCCTCCAGGTCCTGGGGAGAAAGTAGGACATCTCGTCTGCCTGTCTGTCCAGCCCAGTGGGCACCGCAGTCCATCTCATGCCTGCCGGGTTCCATAGCCTCAGGCAGCTCCCCTCATAGAGGGGGAGGGTGGGGAAGGTTTGGAAAAGGGGATAGGGTCAGAGGTGACCACCCTTTGTTTAAAAAGTCCAGAAATGCACAGTCAACCAGACCAGCTGGTGGCTGCTGACCTCGAGACAGGAGGCCAAGGGACCCAGCTCCTCCCTGGATGGCAGGCAGCAATGCCCACCCCAGACAGGCCTGGGCCCGGGGCCTGGGTCAGTGGAATGTGTCTGACCTAGACCGAAAACTGTGCCTCGTGAGGCTTGGGGTTGAGGGTGAAGCCTCTGGCACTGGGGAGGGTCCCAGAGGGTCAGGTTCTGAGGGGTAGGGAGGCAGCATGGAAGGTCTCAGGTCCACAGGGGCGGCCCCCATCTCTGCTGTCCCCACAGTGGCTGGGCAGTGGACTTCAGCAAATGTAGTATCCTGGAGGCTGGGTGGTGGTCTGGACACACAGGGAGAGATGTGTGGTGGCCTCAGCTGGGGACAAGGAGGGCCTGGGGGCCAAGCTGAGACTGTTGGGTGGCCTGAGGGACACAGCCTGGCCTGCAGCAGACCCATCATGTGCCGCAGCTCCCGGCTAAGCTGAGACACTTCCTGATTGAGACGGGAGATCTGTTGGAAACACATCAAGCTGTTTCACAGGTACCACAATAATAACCAAGCACCCCCCTCTACAGTTTGCATGGCTATTTAACAACTACTCACGACTCAGGGCCACCCTGGGAAGAAGGCAGGGCAGGGGTTATTTTGACTTAGATGTAAATACCCCAGACTCTCCAAAAAGGATTTGGGGCAGCAGACATTGCTATTAACGCTGCCCCTCGCCCCCTGCTTTTATGATATGTAGAAAAATGTGCTCACAGAGGCCACACAACTATGAAGTGACACTGACAGCCTTACTTCAGATGATCCCATCACACAAGCTTAAGTGTCTATATTAGTGGTTTTCAAACTTTAGTGAGTACAGAAGCAACTGAGAAACTACAAAATGCAGAGTTCTGGGCCCCACCCTAGATATTCCAAATTGAGAGACCCAGAAATCTGCATTTTAATAGGTTCTCTGGTAGTTCTGATAGACACTCAAGTTTCGGAAACACAGGCCTAAAAGAATTATGGGACCACTGAGGCAGTGAGCAGAGAAGTGGGATTTGCCCTTGATCTCCCAGAACCAGGGCTGGCCCCACCCCAGCCTGAGGGCCTGCCCCAGGCCAGGTGCTGCCCCAGCCCCAGGGCCCTCCCCAACCCTGGGCCCGCCCCAGCCCTCTGGGATGCCTGATGTTTATCAGTACAGAAGAAAGGCGGACTCCCAGAGGCTGGGCCTGCTCCCTCTGTGATGACAGTTCTGAGATCCCTTGGGGAGAAGGTGAAGGCGGCACCTGGCATACACGATCTGGGCTCTTCCTGGCCAGGATTCAGACATCTAGGTCCAGGTCTCCTGGGTCTGAAGGCCTCTCACCTTCCCTGTCCTCTGCCCCCCACATCTGCTTAGCCCTCATTTCCCAGGGCTGGGGTAAGGGAAAAGGACTTGAGCATCAAGACTTGGTATGGGTGTGTCCCCAGAAGGAGAGACTCCCATAGTGGTAGAGAGGGAAGAGGTCCTCTTTTCAGGTGGGAAAACCTGAGCCAGTTGGTGGAGGAGGGGTGCGGGGGGAGGGGAAGGACCAACTGTTACTGAGCATCTGTGGTGTGCCAGGGACTGGACCTGGCATGTGTGCACTCTCATTTCATCCTCAAGACTCTGGGAAAAAATATAATATTATTTTCTCCATTTTTAGATGAGGGAACTGAAGTTCAGAGTGGTTGTGGGACTTGCCCAGGGTCATCCAGCTATGGTGAATATTTGATTGAGGATTCTGGCTCCAGAACCCGAAATGCTCTTATATCAGGCACTTCTCTGATCCCAAGATGATATTCTCCAAGATAGGGGGGGAGGAGCCAGGCCAACACACCTCCTGGTTCAGCTTGCAGACCTTCTCCTTCACCTCCTCAGCCTCAGTGGCAGTTTCCCAGCTGGGCCTGGTCCCTACAGGCAGAATGGGGTGAGCGGATGCGAGTGAGTTCAGGGAGCATGAACACCTGAGCCTGTTATTTGGGCTAGACTCCTCCTGTCACTGGGTAGGCAGAGAGCAAAGGGAGAGAAAGCTCTGGGGTCAGGGAGATGAGAAACCCAAACTCTTCAGGCTGGTTTTGAGGCCCTATAACTCCCCCAGCCTCATCCTTCCCACCCCCCAGATCCAGGTACGAAGCTTCTCTTTGGAATCTGAACACAACATCCCTTTGGTTTTCATGCCTTTCAACAATTGTCCTGCTCCACCCTTCAAAATCCTACCTACCCTTTAAGAAGCAACCCACATGTCCTCTTCTCTAGGAGGGAGAGTTAGGGGCATCTTCCTCTCCTACCAGAGTCCTGTTCTTGTCTCAGGTGTGGTATTTAGCACCCAGTTCTGGGATTGTTTATCTGTGTACACAGGTGTCTCCCCTGCTAGCCTGATGTGGGCCAGGCCTGGCTTATCTCTGTATCCCCAGAAGGCCTGCTCCATGCACCCAGTGCATGGTAGGTTCCTACTAGAGGTGGGATGGCTGGATGAATGGGTAACTGAGTTGAAGTCCATTGCTGGTCCTTACCTGTAGGGGGCGCCTGTGAGCGGGGCCTTGGGTGCTCAGGCCTCCTGCTGAAGCGGAATGTAGAGGCCTCCGCTGTGCTGCCAGAATCCTCAATGCCGTCCACTATCCTGAGGACAGGGCAGTGCTCATCAGCACCATCGGGAGGGGCAAGGGCCAGAGCAGGGCAGGCAGGGGCTGAGTGGGAGCACCAGTGCCAGGGGCAGGGGGCAGGGGTGGGAGCAGTGGCCAAAATGGGATGGGGTTGCAAGCTGCGACTGGAAGGGTGGGGTGGGCAGATGGGGCAGAGACAGGAAGGAGCACTGTTTGGAACCCTAGGGAGAGAGCCCAGAGAAGGTTCTAGAATCTGGTAAGGGTATGGGGAAGGCAGGAGAGGCTAGTGTCTCACCGGGGACTGAGGTCCGGAGGTCCAAAGGTTCCCAGTGGGGGAATGAGAAGCTGGGGGGGCTTCCAGACAGCAGAACACCTGGGGGGGCCGTGAGGGGAGGGGCTGTGGCCCTGGCCAGCCAGGGCAGGGGAAGGGGACGGGGATAAGGAAGGAGAGGAGACCAGGGCTGAGAATGGGGGCAGCTCCTCGCCCAAAAGGCTGACCAGGGAACCCCGAGGCCGTGCCGGGCTGAGGTTGGGCAGCAGGAGGGGCCGGCGGGGCCTGGGACCACCCCCAGGCTCCGTGCCACCCTCGGCCTCTGTGATGGATGGCAGCGTCTTGTCTGAGGAGGAGCCAAGGCTTTCTGAGCGGGGCTGTGGGCAGAGGGGGCAGCTGATGTGGCAGGACAGTGAACCACAGGCCCCTTCGCTAAGCAGCAGCCTTCGCCCCTCCCCTCCCCCTTCTCCCTGCAGCACAGGAGCCAAGGAGAGGTCCGCCCCCACCCTCTGCACCTCAGCCCGCCCAGGAAGGGGGTGTTACCTGGGAGAGGAGAGGGGATCGGGAAAAGCGGCCAAGGCCCTGTGGGGACATAGTGGGGTTCAAGCTGACGCCCACCTCCCCACGGCCCTGGGGCAGCCCCTCATCCCATTCCATAGTGTTTTGGCATTTAGAACGGGGCCTTTCTGTGGAACTGAACCAGACACCCTGACTCCAACTCAGAGGCACACTGAGTAGCAAAGGGACATTGAAAGGCAGCAAAAGACACAGGCCTGGCCCAGAGCCGAAAGCAAAGTGGGCTCAGGAAACATTTGGTGAGTGGAGAAGAGGAAGCCCCAGGCAACAACACCCAGTCCAGAGAGGGACTTGAAGAAGGAGCACAGGAGGGGTGCTGTTTCCAAAGGGAGTGTCCTGAAGGAGTCTGGAGTGAGGCTGGGTGTGGTCACAGGAGGTAGGTGAGTAGAGTTGGAAGTGGAGGGCAGTGAGAGGTGGGCCATGGGGCTGGACAATGGCCAGTGGAGTGGGGTCAGGGAATTAAACACGTAAGGGGCACTGGAAGAGAGTGCCTGGGTTGAGGATGACATGTTCAGGGTGGAGAGACATGCATGAGACTCTCTGGCCAGGGGAGGTCTGCTTTGAAGGAAGGGACCTTGGAAGGGGTGGAGGCCATAGGGGTCTACATACACTGGTGTCCGAGCCCTGGCGCAGGTTGAAGGTGAGGTCCCGGGGCAGGCTGGCCCGGAAGGCAGCCCCGTACTCAGGATAGAGCCTCAGGACCTCAGCCAGCCCTTGGCTGCTCAGCTGCTGCAGGCCACAGTAGGTCAATGCTTTCACGTCAGCGCTGGTCTTCAGCACGCAGCTTGGGCCTGTCCCTGACCCAGGCTCCTGCCCTGGCTCAGGGATGTCGGCCCCAATCAGGTCCCCTTTCCCTGTGGGGAAGGGATGGGCACAGTCAGCTGGGGCAGTGGGACCAATAGGATAGTAGGGGGAGGTGGCCAGTGTGTTTGGAGGGTGGTTGAGGTGGGACAATCAATGGGATTGGTGGAAGTAATCAATAGAGTTGGGAAAGTGTCAGTGGAGGATGACACTGGTGACATTGGGAGACAGTCAGTGGAGGGTGTGAGTATGGTTGGAGGAATGAACAATTGGACGTCAATAAACAGTGGTCAGAGGGGTCAGTTAAAGGGTAAAGGTCAATGGAGTTTAGACTCATTGGAAAACTATCAGCTGAGTTGGGGGACAGCCACTGGGGAAGGGTTGATGGGTTGAGGGATGGCCAAGGAGATTAGGGGAGAGTCAGAGGGGAAGGTCAAAGAGGGATGGTGGTAAGTGAAGGGACCAAGAAAGAGTACTCCTTGGCAGGAATTCCAGGTACCCACAAGGGGTGTGCCGTTCCCTAGACTCCTGGCCATTCCCAAGACCTCTGGGGCGGGTCCTGGGGTACATGGTGGGTGGTGGTGGGGTCCTCACCCAGGATGGCCAGCACCATGTTGTCTCGGAGCACCTCAAGTGAGCCGGAGCAGACGTAGTAGTGCGCCTGGAGGGCGTCCCCACGGCGCAGCAGGTACTCGCCCGGAGCGCAAAACGAGGTCTTGATGTGCAGCGAGAGGGCCCGCAGGCAGCCCCTGCTTGCTGCTCCGAACAGCGGCAGCTGCAGGATCTCCCGATTCAGGTGCATAGCAATGTCAGCTCTCAGCTCGTCTGGGAAGTCACGCAGTAACTGCATAAGGGGCATAGGTCACTCTGGCCATCCCCTTGCAGCTACTACTCGGGTCTAAAAATGTGTCGAGCCGTCTTCAAGGAGGGAGCCCCAACTTGCCCTCTGCTTTGAAGTCACCCATTCCGGACCTTCAGGGTGGCTTCCGTGTGTCTAACCTTAATTTTGTTGCTATGTGGACCTCCCAACCAGATTACTGGGGCACAGACCAGGTCTTCCCCCATCTGTTCACTGCCATGGCTACACACACTGGTCACTCATGCATATCCTGGTTACTCAACCCCACACATTCAACAGCCATCCCTGGAGGGTCAGCCTTCAACAAGGAGTCAGGAGACTAGGAGTCAGCTCTGCTCTTAGATCCCTATGGCCCTTGGGTAATCCATTTCCACTCTCTGGGCCTCAGTACCCCCGTCTGCAAAATACAGAGTGGTACTAGGTCTTGAGCATCTCCAGTGACCTCGTAGGGCCAAACTGAATGTTCACATCTCCATCCTCATATTACAGAGCCCCTTGGCCACTCTGGCATGTTGACCTCTCCCTCTTGTCCTCCCTGGGCTCCTCTGAGGGACTCTCTCCCTGTCCTCCTCCCGCCTCTCCAACTGCTCCTTCCTCACTTCCTCCCCAGGCCCCTCTTCCTCAGCCTCCCCTCTCCTCGTGTCAACTTCCACACTGCCCCTGCATCATGGCAACCAGCCCTTTGACTCCCTACTGCCTGTGCACCCCGAGCCCTAACTCTGGGTCTAGACCTGATTTCTAAATATTTACTGGCCAACCTCTACCTGGACCTCCCCCACCCTCCTCATGGCCCAACCCGACTCCCACCTTTGTCCCTAAGCCTAGTCTTTCCCCTGGAATGCCTCCATCCCACCCCCTTGCCGGAACTGGAACCCAGAACCACTCTGAGCTCCTCCCGGCAATCAGCTGGAGATCACCAAGTCCCATGGCTCCCACCCTCAGAAATACTTCAGCAATCCCAGATCCCGCCACCTTCTAGCCTTAACATTTTGTAGGATACATTCTAAATCCCAGGCCATCCCAGAGCTGGGCCTCCCTGCTTCCTCACTGGCATTCACCCCATTCCTGAAGGCTCACTAAACTACTTTCAGTTCCCCTGCTGAACTCCCTCCGCTGTTTTGGGGCACCACTTCCGGGCTCTTTCTGCCTGGAATGGTCTCCTGGTAGCTGGTGGATTTCCTTCTCGTCCTTTGTGATGTGTCCCTCTGTTGTGCCACCCTCTGTGACTTCTCCCGCCCAGACAGGATTAGGGCCCTACGGCACCCACATCCCTCCTTCTCAGCCCTATGCACTGCCCAGCGCTTTGGTCGCCTGCCTCCCTCACCATTCTGGAGTCTGAGGGCCAGGGCTGAGTGTAATCATCTCTAAGCTCCCTGTGCTCAGCACTGAGGCTGGCCCAAAGCAGGTGCTCAGAAAGTGTCGGCTGAAGAGAGAATGGCATTAGTGGAGGCCTGAGCTCCCTTTCAGATCCCATATTCAAGTGCAAAGAAAAAGGGATTTGGATTTGGGTGGGCGCGTGCCCTTGTGCACAGCGCCTCATCACCCTGGGCCCCGAGTGTCTCCATTCCAAACCGAAAGCCAGAGACCCCTTCCCCCTGCACTGCCATGCAGTGGGCCAGCGCTGGCTGGGGACTCTGCACACTACCTCATTGGCATCGATGCCGCTGTTGACAGCCCATGTGGTCTGGAAGTACTCCAGCATGCGCTGCTTGAGCGGTCGTGGCAGGCGGTGCACACGGATGAAGTCCTTGAGGTCCTTCATGCGGCTGTGGTAGAGCGAGCGGCGCGAGTACATGCGCTGGATGATGGCCGTCACGTTCCCGAACACCACGGCGTGCATCAGCGCTGCAGCAGTGGCAGCAGCCGGTCAGGGGCAGCCAACCCTCTAACCACCCGCCCTGCTCCCAAACCCACCCTGTCCTGGACGGGTCTGTGGGCTCCTGGGGAGGGGCAGGAGAGCTAGTGGGCTCCTGCGTGCCTACCTGGTGCTAGGTGCTAGGTTGGGGTGGGGAATAATAGGGAGTTGTCCAGAGATGGGTCAGACCCAGTGCACCTCTCATACCCCCCATTAGGCCATGAGCTTGGGTTTCCCATCCCCTTCGCAAGAGGCCTGTTTGTGGCATCCCCCAGGGCCAGCACATAGTGGGCACTGAGGAAACGTCAATGAATGAATGCATGTCTGTCTGGACTTGGGTAGACACCTTGACCTCTCTGTGCCTCAGTTTCCCCATGTGCACACTGGGCTTCACAGAGGCGCCCTGGGGCGTGGCGGGTCTGGCCTCACCTCCTATGAGCATAGTGCAGATGGAGAAGATCTTCTCGGCGTCGGTGTTGGCGCACACGTTGCCGAAGCCCACGCTGGTGAGGCTGCTCAGTGTGAAGTAGAGCGCAGCGATGTAGGCGCTGCGCCTCGATGGGCCACCTGCAGAGCCGTTGACGTAGGGCACCTCCAGCCGCTTGCCCAGCTCGTGCAGCCAGCCTGCGGAGTGGAGGCATGGAGGAAGCCCTGCCTGTGTGACCGGTGGAGAACCGGGATTCCCTGAGCTGCCTGCGCTTGACCTTGGGCCAGTATTTACACGGTCTGCACGGGTTGGCACAGGAAAGGTTTGGAGCAGCCTGTGCCTGTGCCTCCCACCATGAACTGGTTACAGTTGCAGTCCAAGGACACCAATTCCCTACACTGCTGACTGCTCAGGGGTCCCTTAAACTCTATAATATTTTATTGTGCACCTCCTGTGTACAAGGTGTTGGGACTTGACCAAGCCAGACACTCTCCCTGCCCTCGTGGAACTTCAAATTTGGAGGGGAGAGTGACATGAAATAAATTGTTACATGTGGGGCCGGGCGCAGTGGCTCACGCCTGTAATCCTAGCACTCTGGGAGGCCGAGGCGGGAGGATCGTTTGAGCTCATGAGTTCGAGACCAACCTGAGGAAGAGCAAGACCCCCATCTCTATTAAAACTAGAAAAAAATTAATTGGCCAACTAAAAATATATAGAAAAAATTAGCCAGGCATGGTGGCACATGCCTGTAGTCCCAGATATTTGGGAGGCTGAGGCAGTAGGATCGCTTGAGCCCAGGAGTTTGAGGTTGCTGTGAGCTAGGCTGATGCCAAGGCACTCTAGCCCGGGCAACAGAGTGAGACCCTGCCTCAAAAATAAATAAATCATTACACGTGAGAGGTGAGTTACTAAAAGGGAAATACTGTATAGGGTATGTTAGGAATCCTAACAGGTTAGGGAGAGCCAACACAGTTGGCAGTAGGGGGGTGTGAAGGATGATTCCTGGGGGGTATCCCTTAGGACAGGGCATTTTGGTTAAGATTGCAAGGAACAGAAAAGTCACCTAGAAGAGAGGAGAGACAAGAGAGGGAGGATCCCAGAGAGGAAATCAGCATGTTCCAGGCCTAAAGTGAGAAGGCAATACGTCCTTGGTCCAGGAGGGAGGCCGGCGTGGTTGCATCACAGGGAGCATGGGAGAAACGGAGGGCAGGTGGGGACAGAGAGGGTGCAAGGCTGCCCAGGTGGGCACTGAGAGTGGACTTCATTCGGAGGGCAGTGAGGAGCCACTGAAGGAGTCCAGGCAGGGGTGTGGCAGATCAGTGTTGATTCTTAGAAGACCAATTTGGCTGTGGTGAGGAGGGGTGGGTGGGGATGCGAGGGGGGCAGGGAGGTCAGTAGGAGGCTATTGCACAAGGCTGGGCGAGAGAGGGAGGTGGGTAGACTGGGAAGGAGCAGAGGGATAGGGAGACGAGGACATCCCCCTCTGCCATCAGAGTGTTTCCTACACTGTATTTTCATCACCTATCACTGGTCTTGTTCCCTTGCTTGGCTGTGAGTTCCCCTGAAAGGCAGAGCCCTGTCTGCAAATCAACATTCCCATGCCTGATACAGCAAGCACTCAATGCATGTTTGTTGGATGAATGGAGGAATGTGGGATGGTGGGTGTGGGTGCTGGTGGAGGCATCAGCTTGGGGACAGGACAGGTGGACAGATGGTCAGTGACAATCTGGGGTCAGTGGCTCACCAATGTCCCAGAGCAGCGGGTCATTGGCCTCCATCTCCCGGCGCCCGATGACATACCAGATGCAGGCCATCCAGTGGGCAAGGAGCGCAAAGACGGACATGAGCAGCGTGAGCACCACGGCACTGCACTGCGAGTACCGCTCCAGCTTCTGCAGCAGCCGCAGCAGCCGCAGCAGCCGCACCGTCTTCAGCAGGTGCACCAGCGAGGTCTGCGGGGTGTGGCGGGGGTGCGGGAGTCAGCAGGCCCCGCTCCTCGGGGCCCTCACACCCCGTCCCCTCCCAGGGCCTTCCCACCAGACACTCTGGAGCCAGGGGAGGCTGCAACAGGAAAAACATCCCTGCTGTACTAAGAAAGTGGCCAGAAAATGCATCAGGGAGAGAATAATAATAAAACGAACAGTGGCTAACACTTGGTACTTCCTAATGGCGTCAGGCACTGTGCTAAACATTTGTAATCCTCGTTAAAAATTTTCAAAAATAGAAACAACCACTATGCCTTTAGTCCAATTATCACTGTAGTTCCCAATTTGCAGATGAATAAAGGCTCAGAGAGGCTAGTGACTTGCTCAAGGTCACATACCAAGGAAATGATGGAGTCACCCATCTGGGACTCAAGGTGGGTATGTCTGGGCTGCCTGACGCTGAAACCCATTTTGTGCTATGCTGCCTCTAAGCACTGTGGGATGGTGGAGGAGCCATTCCTGGTCAGAGCCAGGATGATCTCTGCAGATCCCCTGCTCGAAGCCTTAGTGTGCTAGGCACAACTGTGGACAGGAGCTGGTTGTCAATGATGACAGTTAGCAATGGTAATGGCGACCACTCTGGAGACACAGGGAAGCATGGTGGAGTCAGAACAGGCAAGAAGCTTGAGGACTGGGGAAGGTCTAGGGCCCCTTCCCCTTGTGGATCAGCTACAGACGAGAGAATCACAGGGAAGAGCTGAGGGCCAGAGAGCAGGGACCGAGGGAGCCTGGGCTGCACTAGGGGACAAAGGAGCTAATGGCACCTAGTAAGGGTCCCGTGAACATTTACTAATGTCACTGCCACTACTATCTTAATTGTAATTTATTAATACTTCAACTAGCCCTTCTAATCTTGGAGATGAGGAGGGAGCAGGTGGGAGCTTCTCTGGGAGGGGGAGCTTGGCTACTAGGACTGGAAGCTCCAGGGCAGTGCCCAGGGAACTTGGCGTGAAGGCCCCTCATTGTCCCTTCCGGGGCCTCCAGGAGCACCCCCTGCACCCCTGGCCCTACACTGCTCCTGAACTACCTGGTGCAATTGTCTCTAATTTTAGGTGAAGAGGTGGCTCTGATTTCCACGTGGACCCTCTCCTGGGCTTAATGCCTGCCCTCAGCTCCCAGAGCTCCTGGCTACAAACTTGAGTCCTTCAGAGATTCCCCAGTCAGCCACCCTGGGCCCCAGTCCCTTGGGGACCCTCCTCTCATTCTCATGGACTAGAACATCCCAGGCCTGCCTCCATCTAGTCTGCAGTTCTGCCAGTGTCTACTCGTCCTGCCTCTGTCTGCCCCTCTCTGGCCCCTCATCTCACCTTAAGCCAGAGCATCTACTCAGGTACCCTGGCTACCTGGGAAGCAGGGTGGTATGTTGGAAAGAATACTAGAGCAGGAGTCTGCAGATCTGGTTCTAATTGCCTGCCTGCCACTGCTAGCTGTGACTTTGAGCAAGTCACTTAACCTCTCTGAGCCCTTTCACCTACCTCTGAAAAAGAAGGATAAGAGAATCTGCCCTGAAGGAGTAGTGGGAGGCCCCATGTGATGAAGTGTGTGAAAGAAAACAGTGAACTGCAAAGGGCTCCCAAAGGTACTAGGGGAGGAGGGACTGCCTGAGAGGAGGTGCAGGGGCCTCTCTGCAGCTCTCCCTCTCCCCAGCTGGTACTGCCCAGTGGGCACACAGGGGTGGGCGCACTCCTGGGGAGGGGTGGGGAGCTCTGCGCAGAATGGCTGGAGCCTCAGGGCAGACGTACACACATGCACGTGTGTGGAAACTTGCACACACGTGTGCACAGCTAGGAGCGGAGGCCCACAGCCCGTTGGCGGCTAGTTAAATCCGGCTGCGTGTAGGTGGTTTCCTGCTATAGCTGAGTGCAGCGGGGAGAGCACACAAGGAAACTGCTCCCCACTTCCCCACCCAACAGTGGAGGGGGTCTGGGGACACAGGGTGGGACTGCCTCACCCTGGACTTGAGAAGACCTGCCATCTGCCAGCTGGGTCCACAACTTGCCACTCAGGGCACCTCCAGGCAGTCCCCAGGGAGCTAGGAGGACACAGGTGCTGGCATTCTCTGCTTCCAAATGCACCCCAAAGCCTCTACCTCCTTGTCTTGGCTTACTATGCTCCCTGCAAATGCTCTCGCTCCTCATCTCCTGCCAGCCATTCCTACTCACCCTTTAAGGTCTAGCTCTGCTCCCACCTCCCGCAAGAAGTCTTCCCAGACCACTCCAGCCTCTGCCCCACTGGGGCGCTTTTGCCTCCCAGGTGCTATCTAGATTTGAGGTCATTTTTATGCATGCTCAGGTTCCAGCCTGGAATTCCAAGGTCAGCCCAGCCCCCATGCAGCAATATGGGGCCCCATTCTCCACCCCCGCCGATCACCTCTTCTGTCCCTGATGTCCCCTCCAGTATTCCTGCCCCCTACCAGTTTAGTTGCTTAGAGTCTGAATCCATGTTCCTTTTCCCCACAGTGACCAGGCCCCACACAGTGCTCTGCAGACAGCTAAATGCTCATCAGTTGTTTGTTAAATAAAAATGTGAAAAGTACCACTCATTGGCATCAGACCAATGCCGCCTTGGTAGCCATAGTTAGCTTTTCATTTGTCTCAGCTTCCCTCAAAGACTGTGAGCTGAGCTCCCCGGGAGCACAGACCCTCTCGGATTCTCCCAGTACCTAGCACAGGGCTATGCCCACGGCAAGTGCCTGATAAATATTTGCAGATGGATTGATGGGAAGGATTGCATCTGGGTTTGGGGTTGGGGCCCTAATGGTAGAGGCTTGGCTGAAATTGGGAGGCTAGGCTGCATGGCAGGATGGGGTCACTCACCACGGTGATGTTGAAGACATAAAGCAGGTCAAAGGGCAGAGCAGCAATAAGGTCGACGAAGAACCAGGTGGCCAGGTAGTGGAGGCCAATGGAACGAGGAGCAGAGATCACCTGGCCGGACTGGGACACATAGGTGGTGCGGAAGTTCAGGATGATATCTGGGGGTGCAAGAGGCTATTACTGGGGGACCTTGGCCTGGGGCCAAGGAACCGGGAAAGCTGGGAACAAGCCTTGGAGAGCCAGAATGAAGGAGGGGCAGGAATGGAGACGACAGCTTGGGCTTCTGGTCCTTAGGGAGGAGAGGTCACAAGGCTGAAGGCTGCAGGGGCCAGGGTATATGGGCCACAGGGACTTAGAAGACCCAGAAAGGGATGGGCTCTGAATGCCTGGGTCCTGCAGGGCCAGGATGGATTGAGGCTTGGCTGAGTGGGTCCCCCCCAGCCCACCCACCGGGGGGGCGGTGAGGTAGAGGGTCTGACCCAGGATGAAGAGCATCTCCACTGCGATGTCGCTGACAAGGGTGTTTCGGGAAGTGATGGGAGAGTCGTCATCGCCAGAGAAGCAGACATTGTAGGGGACGGTGACCGCAACGTAGAAGGTGGCGAGGAGGATGAGGCCATCCCAGATGGCCTTGGGGACGCTGTAGTGCAGGAGGAGGCAGCGGGCCCCCCCAACGGAGGCCACCTTGTACTCGGGCACTGATGGCTTTGGCTCAAACACATTCTAAGGGGAGAGGGATGATGGTTGGGGACACTTTGGAGAAAGAGAGCCAAGGCTGGGGGGAGGGAGAGGCAGGGATGGTGACAGGGGAAGGTGGGCACTGCAGGGGCAACCATGGGAGGAGATAGAAGGTGCAGGAGCAGGGTTCAGAAGCTGGCACTGATATTCCTTCCCCCTGCCAATCTACCGCCCAGGCCCCCTTTTGAACCAATCACGTTCTGTGTGGGTATTTATAAGGCTTGACTCTCACCCTATTTGAGAAGAAGATTATAATAGATTGGGCACATCAGCATAGCTGTAGCTTGAGGGGTCACTAACTTCTCCCTCAAGTTCTTCCTGGGGGCTTTCTCTCCAGGACCATGTGATTTCACCCCCCAAGACAACCCTATCACCCAGGGGTGGGTGATGTAATTGCTGCTAAAGCCCCATCCTGTGACATCATCAGAGCACAGTAATGCCAATCACCTAAGGAAGCAAGGGAGGAGGTGGGGATGGAAGGAGGTAGGTGGGGGAAATGGGTGGGCAGAGGGAAAAACCCATGGATAGAAACCAGACAGGGAAACAGGAGACTAGCAGGGGTGCCTAAAAATCAAGGCTGGAGGACTTGGGAGATGTTGGGATGGGACTGGGACTCACATTATTGGTCTTCATGCCTCCCTGGCCCCGGCGGCCAAAGTGGCCGGTCAGTCGGTGTAGGACAGTACGGCTCTGCCTTCTGGCAGACTGAAGTTTTGACCTGGCTCCTCTCCTGCCGAGGGAGTTTTCTGTTGGGGAAAAAGGTGTGGAGATAAGTTAGGGTGCATCCCATGAGGCTGGGTAGGGAGAGATTTTATGTGACCTTGGGTAAGGACTTCTGACCATTCACACCTCCTGCCCAGACTTGCAGTTACCATGATTACTGTCCCCATGGCCTCCTTGGGGGCCAAGTCCTGGGCTTCCACTCTGAGTGATGTCCTTGAAGGAAAATAGGAACAGCACAACCTCCCCCATCTCATTCTTGATGGGCAGCATGTCCAGGAGGCACCAAAAGGCCGAACCTGCAGGCATGGAAAGAGGGAGGGAGGAGTGTGAGCAGCCCCGTGGCCTGCCTTTCTCCCCAGTCTGCCTTGGTTGCTAGACACAAAGAGATTGGCAAATGTTTAGAGCTGAAAGGAACCCTAGAGATTCTGTCAGCTGATGCCTTCATCTTTCATATGGGGGAACTGAAGCCCAGAGAGAGTCAGGGATGCATTCAGTCACACAAGCAGCCTGTGGCAGTGTGAGCACACGCACCCAGACGTCTACTGTGCCCAGTGCACAATGGGGTAAGGCCCAGGGTCTGGGCAGGGCTACTGGGCAGGTCTGGCCCCTCACCATCCTTGCGGTAGAAGCAGATTTCAGCCCGGTGCTCTTGGTGGCCCTCCAGGGCTTTGTGTAGTCGCTGCAGGGCTGGCTCACTGGTCTCTGGACCATAAAGGAAACGGCAGCTGCAGGTTTTCTGCATGACCTCAGTGCGACCGTAGCCTGTGAGCTCGCAGAAGCCGTCGGAGCAGTACACAATGGGAAAGCCCCGTGGGCCCTGTGCGTTGGCCAGCAGGAAGTTGCTGTCTGTGGGAAGAAGAGGTCAAGGTCAGCGCAAGCCCAGGAGTGGAGAAACAGCTCCCAGGTGGGCAGCACATCCCCTAAGTTGAAGTTAGAGGTCACAGAGCCAGAAGCTTCCCATGCTTTCATGTGGTTCCTAATCCCCCTGTGGGATATTCTGAAATGGGAGTAAGAAGAGATAGAGCAAAGGGACGAGGACTCAATGGTGGCCTCAAACTGAAGCAGGGACTACTTGAGAGTTGGAGAAGCAACCCCACGAGGTTACACAGTGTACTGCATAATGCTAAATACACTACTGTAGAAGGTAGCATAGCATGGTGAGTAGGAGCCTGGGCTCCTGCACCCCTCCCCTGCCACTTACTGACTGTGTGTCCTTGGGCAAGTTAATTATCTCTTCTGTGCCTCAGCTTCCTTATCTGCAAAATGGGGCATAATAGACCTTCCTCACATGGTGGTTGTGAGCGTTACATGAGTTAACTTGGAGAGGACAAGTCATGGCACAGGGTAAGAGCTACCCTGAGGTGGCGAAATGATTCCCCCATTGCTTGGCTTTCAAAGCCGCCATCTTGTCATCCCAACAGAGTGAGCAGGGCAAAGATTCTGGTGCTATCACACTCATTTTACTGACAGGAAACCAAAAGGCAGAGATTATCCAAACTCACATATCTCCTTAGTGGGGGGGGGGGAAAGACAGTGATGAGTAGTGTCCTCCTTCCCTGCCTTCCAGGAAAGGTTCAGTTTTTAGCATTCCTTTAGCTATTTTCAGGGGGTCTGTCCCCAGGGCTCAAAGTCTGACATATTGAGGGGTGTAGCTCCAGCAACCCCCAGCAGCAGAACCTGAGCTGGCTCCCTCTGGCTCCAGTGGGTGGGAGGCCAGAGGGGGGCTCCTGTGGGCCAATCAGGGACAAAGTCTCAGCTAAGGGATGGGGCCTGAGACACAACCAGTCCTGGGGCGCTAAGAGGGGTCACTGTCTGGGGGCTGATGGAGACACTGAAGGTGCCTGGCAGGCACTGGGCTCTGGGCACAGCCTCCTTCTTCTATCCCAGGGCCTGTTGCCCCGGTGATGGGCGCTATGGAAACAAGGGAGGTGTGTGGGGGAGGGGGGAAGGCGGGTAGAGCCCCGCGGCTCGGTTTCCGCCCTCGGGTACCGCTCCCCCACCCTCTAGATCCCGGCCGGGGTTCCCAGGGGAGGCAGGTTCCAGTGTTGGAAGAGGGAATGGCGGGAGAAGAGGCGGGGAAGGAGCGATGTGGCTGTCCAAGGTGCTGAACCTGGAACCCAAGCAGGGGTGGGCGAGCAGGAAGTTCCCTCCGTGGCACGGACAGCCCCCCTCCTCCTGCCTCACCCACTTTAGACACAGACGCCTCACGATTTGGGGGCGTGTGACCTTAATCCAAGCTGGGTCCTGCCGAGTCTGATCTTGTCTCCTTTTTTATGGAGGAAGTGGGAGCTGGAGTCGTCTGGGAGTGGACCCCAGACCGCCCAGCTACTTCGTCTGTCCCACTTCCATGTCTCAAATACCCCCATACACACCCCCAGCACTGCGCTGGCCGGGAGTGGGCGGCTCCCAAGGCCCCTCCTCTGTTTTGCTGCACAAAGAGCCTCTCCTGCCTCGAGTCACACCCCCTAACCTCGGCTCCCCCCACACCGGCCCCGTGCTCTTGGCCCTTTCCCCTCCTCCCCTCGCAGGGCGCTACCCGCCCTGTTCCTTCACAAGATGCGGCTTCGGGAGTTCCTAGACCTTCAACTCCATTCTCTCTGCTCGCCGGGGGTCTCACCACATCAGGAGACCCGAGCTGGCCCCCAAGGAGACTTGGCCTTCCGCTTGAGCCCCCAGCCTCCGCCCCACTCACGCGTGCCGTCAAAGCGGGTGGCGATGGTGTCCAGGAAGGTGTTTTGCGGGGCCAGCAACCCCTTCATGACCGGCATGGCCCCGGGGCGCGGGTTCGAGGCACGGCGCCGGTGAGCTTTCAGCGCGGCCGGGCCGGAGGGGGCGCGCTGCTGGAGGGGCCCGGGCGCCCCATGCGCCCGCCTGCCTCCTCCCCTCTTTCTCGCCGCTGCTGCCGCCGCCTCCTCTCCGCTCCGAACCCCGTAGCTCTCAGCTCCGCTCAGCACTGCCTGGGTTCCCCCCCTACCTCCCCACGGGCCAGGTTCTTCCCCTCGGGCTCGGCCCGCACCCGCCACGTGGCCCCGCACGGGGAGGGGCCGCTAGCGACACCCGCACACCCCTGGGCGGCCCTCCTCCCGGAGGGGAGCGGCCCACGCGTGTCTCTCGGGGAGAAAATTCGGGACACGCCCACCGGGGAGGGGGGGAGCCTGAAGTGGCGGGGCGGGGCTTGAACGTCAGACACGCCCTCTTTCCAGCTGGCCACGCCCCACACGTGGTTCCCTGGCTGCTCCTTGTGGCTCCACCTGGTGGGTTTTCCCGCGTGCCGCCCACGCTGGGGCTGGTGTCTGGTTCACAGTGCCGCCTGCTGGAGTCAGGGTATTTCGCAGCACCCCTAGCCTTGTTGCTCCAGTGTGAGACAGCAAGGGTTAAAAGGCTAGTTTTGCTGGCGGAGAATCCACAGACAGGAAGACTTGGAACCCCAACTCCTAGAAAGCACCGCTAACTCTCGCCTTCTGCCTCAGTTTGCCTAGGGGCACCCTGGCGAACTCTGCATCTGAGCCCAGTGGGGCGGAATGAAAAGAGCTCTGGAGTCCACCGTGTAGAGACCCAGCTCCTCACACTAATTGTGTGACAGCCTCTCCAAGCCTCACTTTCCTCAACTGTAAAATAGAGCTAATAATTCTTACCTCGTGCAGCTGTTGTGAGAATTTAATAGCATAATGCATGTCGTTGGCACAAAATAAGTGTCTTGGAGGGCAATGGCCTCCCTGTTCTTCTTGTTCCTATCATGTTGGCTTAATCCTCTCTGCTGCCCTTCAAGTGGAAGAAAGGTTGGAGCGAGTTTGAGACTGAGAAAGATAGTTTGGAGGTGGCACAATCCTGGTTTGCAAATCTCCATGGGCACACAGGTGAATTTTGATCTCTGTTTTCTCCAAGATGGAACCAGTGCAGCAGGAAGAGGGGGACCCGAGTGACACTAGACACAGGACTTTCTCACTACCTATGCAGAAAATTATTGAGACAGCTAAGTGTGGTGGCAGAGAGTAGCTGCTTCCCCGGACAAAACAGCTAAAGCCAGTGAGAGTGAGCGAAGAGAGCAGGCTAAATACTCCCCAGCCTCACTCCCAGGGTCTAAGCTGGGCATTATCTGGGATGTTAGATCAATAAAAAGTACCACATCTTTCTGTGTCTCTCCCTTTGGATGTTATATTAGTTTCCTATGGCTGCCATAACAAAGTACCACAGCCAGCATGGTGGTTTGTGCCTGTAATCCCAGCACTTTGGGAGGCCAAGGTGGGAGGATCACTTGAGGCCAGAAGTTTGACACCAGCCTACACAACATAGCAAGACCCCATCTCTAAAAAAATTAGCCAGGCATGGTGGAGTGCACCTGTAGTCCTAGCTACTCAGGAGGCTGAGGCAGGAGGATGGCTATGATCCCACCACTGCACTCTAGCTGGGGCAACAGAGGGAGACCCTGTCTCGAAAAAAACAAAACAAAACGAACACAAAATGGGTGGCTCAAACAACAGAAATCAATTGTCTCACAATTCAGGATGCTAAAACTTTAACCAAGATCAAGACGAAGGCAGGTTGGTTCATTCTGAGGGTTGTGAGGGAGAATCTGTTGCATACCTCTCCCTGAGCTTATATTTGGCATTCCGTGGCATGTAGAAGCATCACCCCAATCTCTATCTTCATATTAAAATAAGTTCTCCCTGAGTGCATTTGTGTCTTAATTCTCTCTTTTATAAGGACACCAGTCACAGTGGATTAGAGGCTCATCCTACTCTAGTATGACCTCATCTTAACTAATTACATCTGCAAGGACCCTATTTCCAAAAGGTCACATTCTAAAGTGCCAGGAGTTAGGACTTCAATATATGAATTTTGGGGGAGCACAATTCACGATAACAGGTGTCTTCGGATAGAGGTGCAGAAAAATCTTGCCCTGCCCTTACTTAAGAATTTCCCATGACTCTGTTACCTATAGAATAAAGTGCAAAGCCCCATGATGTGTGAGGGCCTCACAATCCTGGCTGCATGAACTTACCAGGCTTCCTTCCGGAGCCTCACCGCTTCCCACACCCTGCACCCCACGCTGCAGCCACCCTGGACGATTCATTCTTAAAGCTTATATTCCCTGCCTTTTCGGCAGACAGGCTCGACTCCCACAGCTTCCCAGCCGGATTCCACTCCTCCGCGCAGCCTCTTGCTCCCCTGCCACCTCCCCCCCTGTGTTGCAGAATGACTAGTACAGCATCGTGGGATGCATTTGTCCCGCATCCTCCCCTCCAAGCATGCACATGTGCGGTTCACTCTGCACCCCAAGGCCGTGTACTGGAGCTCCCCAACAAGAGCGTTCCAACGGTGCACAGACTGAGGCTGGCGCCCCAGAGCCGGGCTTCCACGGCCTCAGCCTTTATGGCTCACAAGACGCTCTTCCCCCCACCCCCCCCCCGGCCCCACCCGAGGGCCGGACGCGACCACGCAGAAACGGAGACCAGCCACACGAACGGAGACTCGCCTTTATTGCCGTTTTGCTGGGGGCTGATGCCGGGTGGGCAGAGGGGAAAGGGCAGGGCCAGGACGGGCCCGAAGAACGGCTCAGACCCCAGACAGTCCCTCAGGTGTGACGGAGGTGGCGGCCGCCGCAGGACAACGGCGCCCGGGACAGGGGCGCGGCGCTGGCTCTGCGCCTGCGCGGCGGCCCATGGTCAGGATGCCGGCGGCGTGGTTGCCGCTGGCCTGCAGGAGGCGCTGCAGCCGGCCCTGGAGGCCCGGGGGCCCCGGTCGCCGCTTGCCCAGCGTGAGGATGCCTGCCGCGTGATTGCCCGCGCCGTGCAGCAGCTCGTAGAGGCGGCAGGAGCACGTCTTCTGGCGACAGCAGTCGGGCAGGGGCTGCGCGGCCGCCCCGGGCGACAGCAGCGCGGGCGGCAGCAGTAGCAGCAGCAGCAGCAGCGTCACGGCGGCCCAGGAGACCTAGGGAGGCAGAGACAGGGCGCTAGGGGTCCCCAAGCCTAGGACCTGCCCAGTGGGCTCCGTGACCCCTCCAGGCCTGCGCGCCTCACTCGCCGCCAGTTTTCCTGCCTCTGCGCCCTTGCTGGTATCTGGCTCCTTTACTTGCTTTTTTACCTCTGCTCGTCCTTCAGGACCCAGCAGAGCATCTCCTCCAGGAAGATGCCCAGGGCAGAGAACCCCTGGGCAGAATGAATCCCTCTGTCTTCTGGATACCCTGAGTTCATTGTATCCCCAGGAGAGCACTTACCACTCCACCTGCAAACAGGGGTGTCCGATTCTGCACCAGAAGTTGTAAACCCAGGAAAACAGAGACCCTACTGAGTCCCTCCCCCTCCACAGCAGGCAAACACGTGGAAATTGGGGACTGGCAGGACCCCCAGCTGTTGTCTCATATGCTTGCTCCCTTGCAGGGGTAACTGAAGTCCATGACTTTGGACCAGTCTCCTACCCTCTCAAGGGGCACAGCCTCCTCCCCTGTACACTGGGTATTAATTCCTACTATGCACGGCTGCTGGAGGAGCAAACGAGATGACAGGTGCAAACATGGTACCTGACACATAGTAAGTGTTCAATAACCATGAGCTTATAGGAGAACAGGGACCAACCCAATGTTAGTCAAGGCAGACTCTTGGCTACAAGTGTGCCCAGTCTCCTGCCTCAGAGCACATGTGGGCAAAGACCAAGAGCAGACACCTTAGACCTTTCTTCTAGCCTCCTAAGTAAGCACTTTCATTGCCTCCCTGGTGTGAGTCACCCCTTGGTCCCTGGGCCATTACCTTTGTGGAAGGAAGCTTCATAGTGTCTGGAGCGCAGGGTGGGGTAGCCAGGAAAGGAGGTGTCTGCAGTGGTCCAGATAGCCAGGAATCTTGAGGGTGTCTACTGTGACCCACCACCAGAGGCCTGGGGTTTATAGTGCTCTGAGGTGGCGGGGAAGAGACGGGCACTTGCGTCCACTCCAGGGCCAGACAAAGGCAAGTCTAAGATTAGCCTTGTGCAGGGGGGCTGTCTCCGGGCCAGGCCCAAGGAATGGCCGCTGAGGCGCTTGGAGGCTGGGGTTGTATCACTATGCCCCTGGTCTCTCCCTTGTCTGTCTGCCTGCTCCCTGGAGATGGGCCGGTCTCCAGGCACTAATGAGGCCACCTTGCACCCAGGAATCCAAGAGCACAAAAGAGGCCGTGGCTGGGGCGCTGGCCTGGCACAATATGCGGGGAGGGCAGCTGCTAATTAGGAACAGGAAAAGAGACATTAGTGAGACCCACTAGCCACATTGTATGGGGGGTGGGGTGGGGGAAGGACAGCTACTCAGCAGGTCTCTCCTCCTGTCCTTGTTGCTGCCCCAGGGGTCTGCCAGGCTCTGGGACCTTCTGGCTCCATTGAAAAGTTACCTAGCTGCCCCTCCTCTTCCCAGCTCTCTCCTTCCCTTCCCCCATCCTCCGAGATGGAAAACCTTGAAGGCCCAGCCTGGACAGTGAGAGGAAAGGAAGCCCAAACTAAACCCAGTTTCTGCCAGAAGCTGGTGGAAAGCTTCTACCTCCCCAGCTTTCTCTCTGGGTCAGGTTGCCTGGAGTGGAGGGATGTAGTTCCACTCCACCAACAGGGAGTGAGCCACTGTGAGGTGAGGGACACAAGTCCTCTCCCGGCCTATTTATTGAGCTCCTGCTCTGTGGCAGGTGTGGCACTGGGTGTGAGAGCAACTCTGCACAGGACCTGGCCCAGCTTCCCAGGAGCTGCCAAGTCTGGGTGGGAGGCAGTTTGGGCACAAAGATAGTTTGGTGAGGAAAAGGACTATTGCAGACCTTGGCAAAGTTGAGCCGATCACTGCTGCCTGGGTGGGGCAGGGGGACCTCTAAGGCCTTGCATGAGAAATAGATTTCTATCAGGTAAGGCTAGGGGGCGAAGGAATTTCACAGAAGGGACAACTTGAGCAGAGGCCTGGCTGTGACAGTTCAGAGCTCAGTTGGGATGGGGTGGGAGGTGTGGTCCTCATAGCCCAGGCCTTTTCCCAGCAAGGGGAGAGAGGTGGCTGGACAAGTAAGGCAGGGGCCAGGGTCACAGGGTCCTACAGGCCAAGCTGATTGGTCTTAATCCTGTGGGGGAGGGGAGCCATCATGGGAGGAACAGGAAGGAGTCATGGGGCCTGCTGATATGCTGGCTGGGTGAGTGTGGGCAGGGTCCTGGATGTGGGGACCTAGAATTGAGAAGCAGGGAACAGGTGTTGCCTTTACTTAGGAGGAGCTGCAGGGCCTTGGGCAAGCCCCCCAACCTTGTGGAGGCTCAGTTTCCCCTCTGGTAGAGACAGTTAGCCCAGCTGGTCTCTGGGGTCACTTCCCGCTGTGATGCTGTATGACGTGAAGTGTCCTCCCCCCTTCCCTACCATGGAAGTGATTTGTGGGTGCTGGACCAGGAAAGGGACCAGTGCTAAAGCAGGGTGGGGGAAGTTGGGGAACAGCCCCTCGGCCGTTAGGTTACACTTGGGACGGGGAGGCAGGAGCAGGTGAGTCTGTGTCTGCCGGGTTGACCTAGGACGGCTGCTGTGTGCACATAGCCCTGCGGGGCCTGACCCAGCCTGGACGGAGAGAGGGGCGGGGAGAGAGCCCAGGCTGCGGCAGGAGCAGAGCGAACGGGACCACTGTGTGGTTTCCCCAAAGCAGACTCTGAGGCAAGAAGCTGGGTGCAGAGGTTTATTCAGGAGCTGATCCCAGGGGGCACAGTGAGGGAGTAGGGAAAGGAGGGAAGGGTGGAGGCCCAGTGAGAGGGAAGGGTGGAGGGAAGGGTGGAGGCCCAGGAAGCCGGACTCCATCCTGTGGGGGACCCTCTGAGAGATTATGTAGAAAACTCTTCAGAATTGTCTCACTCAAGGACAGTGATGCTGAGGACTTTATTCACCAACTCCTATTCCTTATTGACGGAGGGTTGCTCCTGGGGACCCCCCAACGCTTCCAGCCTGTACCCAACACACTGGCCAAGCACAAAACTGTGGCCAGAGAACACTGCCAGGCTGAGAGGCTCAGGAAGCCACGGGTGTGCGTTGGAACTCTAGCAGTGTCCCCCAGTGGTGGGCCACGGGGGATCCCGACAGGGCCCTGCTGGCCCTGCTAAGCCCCTGAGCCCATGCCTCAGGGCTGGCCTCCAGCCCAGGGCCTCCCTAAGGCCCAGTGGCTCTCATAGGTAAACGTCAGGTGACACAGAGTCAGAGACCCCAGCCAAGGACTCCCCATCCAGACAGGCCCCAGAGGAGAGAGCAAAGGTGGCCTCTGAGGGGAGCTGGGGCCGTGGGCAGGCCCGGGCTCAGGAGACCACTCTCCTCTGCAGGACCTGGGCCAGGTGCCTGTGCCGAAGGACCCGGGGCATCTCAGGAGGGAAGGGGGACGACGGGTAGGCGGCTAGGGATGCCCGGAGTGCTCTGAAGGCCCCCTGTCCCACCAGGTGGACTCTGGCAGGGCCCACGCTGCCCCGGAACCGCAGGGACTTGTAGTGGGCAGAAACTTCCTGAAGGCAGTGGTCCAGCTGGAACAGAAGTGAAGCGGTGTGGCCGGGGGTGGGCACACAGTGTGCACGTGGCTGTGCTTGGCGTACACGTGTTTAGGAGTCACCAGTGTGTGTCTGTGGGACTCACCCCCTCCTTCCCAGAGCCCCAGGGACCCCTGCTCCCCATCCCGCCCGTCTCCGCAGCGCCCTGGGGGTGTGCAGAGTGAGGGGGACGTTCAGACCCTGTCCCTGTCTCTTTTACCTTGTCTCGATTTTCCTCTGACAGATTCCTCAGCCCCCTCAGCTCCACAAACACCTCATAGTGGGGAGCGGAACCCTCGAAGGAATCTGTGGAGAACACCCCCCAACACACACTTCCAGCGAGCGGGGCAGCTTCCAAAGCCGCTGCCCCATGTGTTCTCCACTCAGACGTCCATGGGGGAAAAGGTTTTTGGTGGGGAGTTGGGTAAATGAGAAGAACCTAGGAACCCTCTCTAGGTTGAGAAGAACCTAGAGCCTAATCCTAAATACGAAATAGGTCAATAAAGAAAATGCTAGGCCGGGCGCAGTGGCTCACGCCTGTAATCCTAGCACTCTGGGAGGCCGAGGCGGGAGGACTGCTTGAACTTAGGAGTTCGACAAGAGCAAGACCCTGTCTCTACTAAAAATAGAAAGAAATTAGCTGGGCACAGTGGCGCATGCCTGTAGTCCCAACTACCAGGGAGGCTGAGGCAGGAGGATCGCTTGAGCCCAGGAGTTGGAGGTTGCTGTGAGCTAAGTCTACACCACGACACTGTAGCCTGGGTGACAGTGAGACTCTGTCTCAAAAAAAAGAAAAAAAGAAAGAAAATGGGTAGAAGCTGCAGCAGCAGGATGGGATCTAGACATGGGGAAGGGCTTTTGTTAGGAGCAGCAAGGGAAGCTGAGTCTTCTCTCTTTCCTAGTTCTTAGAGGTCTCCCGGCAGGATAGGTATGGGGTGGCAGGTAGCCAACCCAGGAAGGGGGGGCAGGAGCTAGAGGTGGGGAGAAGCTTACCCAGAAGGCTGCTCTCCACACAGGCGTGGTCCAACAGCTTGGCCCCCGGCCACTGCCCCACCGCCCAGCCCAGGGCCTCAGAGAACACATCCTCACCGATATCTTCTCCTCGAACACTCAGGACCTGGCCCCGTCTGGGGAGAAGGAAGGGGGTTGGAAGTGAAGCTCAGGACACAAGGATGGCCCCCCAGCTCCCTGGGGTCACCTACCTGCAGGTGAACCTGACGACAGGACACTGATTGTAGGCACCCGCCACATGCACCACGTCACCCAGGCGGCACCTGGTGGGGCAAGTGGGAGTGAGGTTGGGCCCGAGGGTCTGTAAGTCCATGCTCAGCAGGGTCCTGGGGGCCTGAGGTAGCAGAGGCCGGGCAGGTGATCACCTGGTGAGGCTGGCACGGTCAGTCAGTACCAGCTCATACTTCTTGCCCTCCTGGGCCTCGGCCAGCAAGAGGGTGGAGGTGGCCTCCTCCTGGGCTCCTTCCTTGACGGGGAGCAGCTCAGTGAAGGGGGCTCCAGGGGACAGAAGGTAGAGCCCATGGGGCTGCTCTGGCCATAGGTTTAGGGCCACCACCCCTGTAGGGAGCACACAGCCTCCTCAGCATCTGGTGGGGCTACTGCTTTCTGCGACCCCCCCACCGCGCCCCAACCCTCTGAGCACGTGACCCTGTTCCTGCCCTTCCTGGCACCCCCTGCTGCCCGGCTGCCCCAGGCTCAGCCGCTGAGTCCCAGGCAGAAGCAGAGCGAGTGGTTCTGGAGGCAGCAGACCTGGGAGGAAATCCAGGTGCGTGTGAATTTGTGCAAGACCCTTAACTCTGAGGCTCCGTTTCTTCGTCTGTGAAAGGGAGCTGCTAACCCCCAGGTACACAGGGTTGGGGGGATTAAGTGAGATGATCATGCAGGGCTCCATCCATGGCAGCTCGCCATGGGACCTCTGCCCCCGCCCCCACCTCTGCCCTTGGATCCTGCTGACCTCCAGAGGCAGCATAAGCAGGAGAGAAGAAGGCTAGCCCTTGGCACCACAAGGCCCTGAGGGCAGCGACAGCTTCAGCCTGGCCTCCGGCGTCCAGAGTCACCACCACCTGCAGCTTCGGCCAGAGCCGAAGGGCCAGTCCTCGGGGTCCCTGCTCTAGGGCCTGCCGCAGCTCAGCGGCCCGTCCGGGGAGAGGGGCTCCTGGGTTCCCGGCAGCTATCGCCCCAGCCAGCTCTTTGCCATCAGCCTCCAGGGCCAGGAAGACATCCAGGAGTTCCACTGCCGTCCCGGCCTCCAGTGCTCTCAGCCCTGGGGACCTCAGAGCCTCCAGCAGCAGGGCCACAGGGTCTTTGGCTCCAGGGGGGCTAACCCGGCCCAGGGCATGGCCAAGCCAGGGGAAGG